GGTTTGCGAGACTCCCTTGCAGCTTTCGGGTTTGTGATTCGGGTTTTCGGGTTTACGATAATACTTTCCTTTCATGGCCATGATAGGCAATGACATACTTAATTTGCCTTCATCAGCAAACCCCTTTGAATGGTTCATTTCGAAGTGAAGGACGTAATGAATTTATGAGTAGGCTGTCAGGTACCATAACCATTCCAAGTGCACATTTCCCAGCCTCAATAAATTCCTTGCAACTTGAATCCTCTATGGTCCCACGGACTATTGATGTTTGCTGCGGTTGTGGGTTTAAACCGACCCATCGGCAATAGAACTCCATTACCCCACCAGGTTGAGGTCCTGAGAGTCGAGGTTTAATGGCTTCACAGTTTCTGGCGGTACCTTCTCAATCAAATGTGGACAGTGCACACAGAGTTTCGGTTTCGGGTTCGGCCTTTCCGGCTTCCTGTGCAACTCTCACCCTACAGCTCAACTTCAAGACTGCCAGACTCATCAGCTTGAACAGTAAGTAATCCACAACAAATGTCAGGCCGGAAAACCTCTACTGCTACTACTACTATTACCACTACCACTGCATTTGTTGCTACTAGTAGTGCTAGTACTAGTACTTCCACTCGCAGCACTTCTTCTCCTACCACCGCGACCACGACCACAATTACTACAACTGCAACTACTACTGCTACTGCTGCTGCTACCACTCCTACTACTACTAATGGTACTGATACTAGTGATACAGACCTGATACTACTACTACTACTACTACTGCTACTACTACTGCTACGACTCCTGCTACGACTTACTACGACAGCGGCTACTAGTACTATTTCTGCTACTACTACTACTACTACTACTACTACTAGTACTTTCTACGACAGCTACTACTACTACTACTACTACTACTACTACTACTACTACTACTACTACTACTACTACTACTACTACTACTACTACTACTACTACTACCACTGCCACTACGACTTACTACGACACCTACTACTACTAGTACTAGTACTAGTACTACTACTACTACTACTACTACTACTAGTGCTACTACTACTACTACGACTACTACTACTACTACTACTACTACTACTACTACTACTACTACTACTACTACTACTACTACTAGTGCTACTACCACTACGACTTACTACGACAGCTACTACGACAACTACTACTACTACTACTAATACTACTACTACTACTACTACTACTACTACTACTACTACTACTACTACTACTACTACTACTACTACTACTACTACTCCTACTACTACTTTTATTACTACTACTACCACTACTACTTCTGCTAGTACTACTACTGCTGTTGCTACTAGGTACCGTCTTTGATTCTACTCGTTACCCAGTCTTCTTACTATAATTGGAAATGCTCTCCCTAATACTACCTAAGATTTATATGCCTGCAGCGATGCCAGCTGACGCAGCGTCGGGAGTACTCCACTGGGTGATGCAAAACAATGTCCGACATTCGATGCGTGCGTGGCTGTGTAATCTGAAGACAAAGACCAGGACATCGGCATGGCATGCGGCACTTGCCTAATCATGCTTCATTTCCCTGAACACCCAGAGCCTAATTATTACAATTAATTAACCCTGCTCGCGTCACATGCCGCCCATAGCAAACATGCCCAGTGATTCTGGCCTTTTACACGACATTTGGCCCGCCTGCGTCCGAGCTATTGTTGGGTCGCCTGCGGCGTTTGGTACATTTCGCTCCATGTGTTGTCCTGCGGCTTCTTGCACAGAGGCGCTTCGCCGAACAGATTCCTGCTGCCAGGTGGGGCCAGGTGGCTCTTAATAGATATTAGATTACGGATCAGGCAGCCCCAGTAGGATTTCTAGTTCATCCCGTCACCGCACCCGCACAGTTTCTTAAGACATGCCCGAGTACCCGACAAGTTTGATTTTTGGGTGACCACTCTCTAATGCATGCGAAATAGATCCGTAGACCTTGAAGCAGCTTCGTCGCCCACATTATTAAGGTTCGGGGTTTGGGGTTTAGCTTTACCTACTTAAACCTCAGGCCTTAAAGCTTCAACGGTTTCTAGTTAAGCCGCAAGCCGGATGTTGTCTTTCTCTCAGGTTCAGTTCTAGTAAGTAGCAGTAGTATTCGAAGAAGCATTTCCCGTCCGAGTTAGTAATCCGAGTACCAGTGCTAGTAGAAGAGGAAGTAGTAGTAGTAGTAGTAGTAGTAGTAGTAGTAGTAGTAGTAGTAGTAGTGGTAGTAGTGGCAGTACTAGTACTAGTAAGTAGTAGTAGTGTCAGACTGGTGCCAGCAAATTCGTCTTTGGTGGCTTGGCCCCAGAACATGTGTCGGGCGCCATTGCGACGCTTCCAAGCGTGCCTCGACGTCTCCGTCATCAAGCGGGTCTCCACTCGGACAGGTGACATCACAATGAATGTCCTGCGGTTGAAGGACTCTCGAGTCTCGAGCCCTGAACTTCTGAAGCACTTTGTCGCATATTGGAGAAGCCTGGCAACACAGAAGCGGCTCGCTCCACTCCAGAAGCAGACGGCTCCAGAAGACGAGTGCACACAAGGCTCTTCTGACTGCTCGAGCCTCTGTCCGTTAGGTCATCACTCAGCACAGATCCGGCGCACTCAAGACTTTGCATGAGGCCTGCCGGCACAAGGACAAGGACATCGACACCGACTGACAAGGACATCGAGACCGACGCTCTGTCTCTCTCTCTCTCTCTCTCTCTCCCTCTCTCTCTCAAATAATCAAGTTAAGCCCCAAACCCCAAAAGTTTCCTTGTTCTTTTCAGAACAAGGAAGCTGCATGAGCCTGTTGGGGCCCCAACAGGAGGTTCTTTCTGGCTCTGTCCCGCCGTGGCAGGAGATACAGCAGCCAGAAAGCCCTCCGACCCCAGAGCCCTTTCGGTTTCGGACCCTAGACCCTAAAATCCTAACCCTGACATGGAAGTCCGAAAGCACAACCCTGAAGCTCTAATTTGACTTAACCTCATGACTGCTAACTTTCCAACCCCTTGATGAGTTAGACTTCTCCAAATCTGAGCGCCGAAACCCGACCCCGGACATTTGACCCTAAACGTGTGCCTGAACCCTAGGCCCTAAGCCCCGTGGGCCTGAACCCTAGGCCTTAAGCCCTCCACTCTGAAATACTCGCCCTACAACTATTACATAACACTTAAGCCCAAACCCTGAAACGAAGACCAGGCCTGAAGGGAGTTGACCCCTGAATGAACCTAAACCCTAGACTTAAACCCGGAGCCCTTTAATCAATAAACACAACGTCCAGGAATGATTGCATGTTATTCAATGTGTTAACTTGGTGCAATTTTTGGGAGGCATCAAACTGCGGTGTGCGATCTTCGCAGATTAATGAAATAATTATCAAACCTGACATCCATTTTTGACTCAGAGGCCCGTAGTTTCCCTTTGCCACCATATTCCATTCTCCCTTGTATCGCCCGAGTGTCATTTTCTGCTGTCAGGGCTTCTGCGACTACATGATGGGCAACATCTTCTTGCTCGAGCCCACGAACATCGCTCGTTCCCCCTCGCCCGAGTCGCCACGAACCCCCCTCGAACCCCCCAACCCTTCGTCGAAGTTCGTCGCACCTGCGGGGGGGTTCGCCGAAGTTCGCCCCAGCTGGGTGGCGCCCCCCCAGAGTAGCGCCTACAGATAGTTAGCCTACAATTCACCACCAGCCACGAGTAGGCTGTGTAGAGTAGCTCTGAGGGTTCAAGACTGAAGAACTGCTCATAAGACCTGGAAACATCTGTGAACTGATGCTAAGGTATTGCGTTCAGGGTCAAAGTCGTCACATCTATGGGACATGATACTTCCCAGCAGTCCCCAATGGTTGCCTGACGAGTGTTCAAGGATAACCCCCGCGGTCCTAGCAAGTCTCGGAGCATGGCGTGCTTCTCCGGCCTCCTCTCTGAGGAGAATACAATGACGCGAATGCTCACACACGGCAGAAATTCCAATCTCCCCGATTTAGTGCGCAAGAGATGACAAATCGAATGTGTTTGCGAACAACATCTAGCTGCATCTGGCTATCCACGTATGGCTCGCCCAACCATCCTGCCATGCGCCTTTCCAAAGCTGAGTCACGGTTCTTAATGCGTTGGTGTTTTGTGATGCCTGGCACTGAGGTAGATGTTACAGTACATGAATACAAGTTTGAAGCATGCGATATACAAGGCGGGCAGATAAGATAGGTCCAGATGTTTGTGCCTATTGTCTCTACGAACTGTTCTGGCATCTGGTCGGCATCGGTTTCTTGGACTGATAGCTTGCTGGAGAAACATCACGTGCGACAGTGTTTGACGGACTCGGCTGACTACCGGCTTCATTGAAAGAGCTGGCAAGAGGTACTGTAGAAGCCTAAATAATTACCTACATTATTTTTGGTGTTCCTTATTGCAATTAAGTATAAAGGGTCCCAAAACCCTATTCTAATTATTAAGGCCCCTACATTACAGCTTTTTTGTGCGGACGCTCTTGGAGCTGGGCAGCGGTTAGAAGTAATGTCTCGAGTCGCATGCTTCTTCGAGCTGCTTGTACCGATGTGCAGCCGGGGTCCAAGGCCACCCATGCGGAATGCTTTTTGATGTATAAAGACAAGGCTGAACGATGGGCAGTGAATCAGACTGATAGTTATGACTCGTGAAACCTCATGGTGCGGTGGAAGGATTACCTAGTTTGTTTTAGCATACGCTAGCTGTGCATTCTGTTTTCTTGCCTGCACTTTGTCTCTAGCAGTTGCCTTCCGCCCGCGCCGCGCCATGGATGCCTTGCTGGGGACAACACTGTTGGACGGAAGAGGGGAAGTCGCAACATCGTCTTTACAGGGAGGGGTCGTGGCCCTGTACTTTTCAGCTGGATGGTGCCCTTCGTGCGAGGGATTCACACCTCAATTCCGCAAAGTGTATGAACAAGCCACATCGAAGAACGGAGCTTTGGATGTCGTCTTTGTATCCAGCGACCGCGATGAGAGCTCTTTCCAAGAATGCTTCGCCAAGATGCCGTGGCATGCGCTGCCTTTGGAATCCGTGGAATTCCTTCTGTTGTCCTGCTCAACTCCTCTGGGCAGTTGCTGGATGACAGCGCACGAGGCAAGGTCATGGAGCCGGGTTTCCTCCTGTCCCTGCCACGCCGCATCGACTTGGTGTCGGCTGCGCTGCCGGAGCCGACGGGTTCCGTGCACTTGCGGCTGCGGTACAAAGGCCGCGAACATGACATGGAATGCGAGCCCAGAGACTCGGACTTACTTTAGACGTCGTCTCTTTCTAGAGTCTAGACGAGGTGTACATAAGCGTACGGCAAGGGTGTCGGCATGGACTTTCGAGCTGCCAGGTGAAGGCTGGGAAATGCTGCGCAAGCAGATCTCCTCCATGATTGACGTGCCACCTGAGCAGTTGAAGCTGTTTGGACTGGGTCTTGACAAAGGCTGGCATGGCACGCACAGATTCCCTGCTTGCAACAACCCTATAACGAAGTTTAGAAGCTTGTGTCTGGAGTGCGGTTGGAAATGCCCTTGGAGCACCCAAGTAAAGGTGAGGGCCTGTATTTCAGATTTGGGCAAGTGCAAATCAGGGTCCTATGGCTTTCAGTTCGACACGGTTTCACGGTCTCAACTTCAGGATTGGGTTTGGACTGACTCGAGGGCCTGTGACAAGTTTGAAGTTGCTAGGACAGTCACTCACGACCTTCGCTGTCACTGAGACGGGTGTTCTGAATTGCCGGATTTTCCGGCTTGGAGCTCCGGGTTTGGATTGTCGTCTGTTGTTTAGGGCCCGCCTGCTCGCCGTGGACACGATAGATACCCATGGCCTCTGATGACCCTGCAGGCCAAGTGGATGAATCCATCTCTCTAACGCGGGCCTTGGCGAGGAGCATTGCGACCCAGAAAAATTCAGGTCTCCGAGTGGCCAAGGTGGGACACAAGCTGGGGCTTTTAAGGCTTGCAGTTGGGTTGTTGGACCGTTGGGCATCACGGCCACTCGCTTGACTCGACCTTGCAAACATAGCTTTACCTCCGCCTTGGCAGTTTTCTGGAGGTGCCGTTGGAAGCAAGACGGGCATCCTCGAGCCACGAAGACGACAAGCCTGGGCAAAGGCATCACACTGGATGCTTGGATAGAGAGTGTGCTGACCCTGGACTCCCCCGTTTGGTGCGCCAGGCGCGGAGACTGCAGTCCATGGTACCAGCTCGACTTGGGGGAGGTCGAACACGTCGCTGGAGTGCTCGTGGCTGCACGCCGCCCCGGCCTCGGTCTTCTGCTATCTCGGCGCGAGAGCGTCGATGTTTCGAAGAACACTAGTCTGCGGCCCTTCCGAGCTGAAAGCCAAAACTTTTCCTGCGTTGGGCCAGCTTCGCTCGCTTTGGCTCTGATCTCGGAGCTTCCTGTTACTCAGGCGTGGAGTGTGGCCAATGGGCCACAAGGCTGGCAAGTGCCGTCAACTGCGACCTCGTGTGTCGTTTCGGGCGATGCTGCAGGTTCCGGGTTGAGCTGGCTGGATCTGAGGACCCACAGGTTGAAAGACTTAGGACACTAATGGGACAATGCTCAGTTTGCAGCACGGGCCCTGGACTTCCGCCGACAATGGCAGGGAGTTTGCTGGGCCGAGAACTCGTTGGACTACCCGGATGTAAGTAAGCCAAAAAAGTAAGTGCCAAAAAGTTAGCTGAAACGAGCATATGCACGCGCACTCACTCACTCTGTCTGCTTGTCTGTTCCGAGGCCGAGCTATGCAGACCCTGTGCGCGCAGTTTTCCAAAACGGCACGCGACCAAGCAGTGAAACCTCCACCACCTCGTATGTGATCGACTATTCTCGTGCATGAAAGGTCTTGGCAACGGCATGCTGCACCTGTCACGTGTGTGGTAGCTGCTCCATCCAGACTGAGGCTCGCAGCTGGCTCGCTTTGTCCGAATCCTGCCGGTGAGTTGCCGTCTCAGGCTTCGCTGCCCTCTAGGTGTGTAGAGGTACACAGCCTTGGTCCTAGAAGCAGGGCAGACGCTCTGCGCACCGAGGTCACCGGAACCATGGCTCTCTCCGCGCAGACGTGCTGCTGGAGCGGGGAGGGGCTCACAGGGCTGAGTGCTGTTTGGCCCGATGCAGCTCGCAGCAGCGCGCAGGCTACCGGAGAACCGGACAAGCCGCCGGTAATTGCTTCTCGGTTTCCTTCAGACCCGTGCGATGCGGAGGGCTCTCGCTTCCAACGTGGCCATTGTCCCTGTGCGAGGTCGCTCTGGGAAACTTCAGTGCAGGAGACCCCTTCGAATCTGCCACACCCGAGGCCAGGCCGCATGTTCCATCGTGTTCCCGTGTTCTCACCGCGGACCTCGCCCGCTCCCCTCAAATCAGGGGAGAGCCCAGCCTGAGTGCCGGAGGTGCCGGTGGATGAGCAGGACTTGACGGTCTCGGGCGCCGAGGAGGAAGGGATCCACTGAGTTCTTTCGTAGGTCGGGCGCATCACGGGATACCCTATACCTTATCACACCGACCAAGAAAGCCCGGAAGGAATCCTTAACGAACGGTTTTTTCGGAGTTTGTGTGAGAGAATGCACCCCTGGCCCATCTGCCGATATCCCCGGATTGTCTTTAAGAATGCTCACAGACTGCTCACTGAAGTTTCGAATTGGGGCCTTTGACAAACTTTGGGCCATGGCTCTGTTTGTGTCTGTCTTCGAGAGGGCTTCGATACTGTTGCATGCGCAGCTGTTTGCAGTTGTTTGCGAGACTTCTGGCTTCCGCGAGTGTTCGCATGCGGCCCCTGACAGAGTTGTGCACACGGTTGCATCGACCGGTGCGGTCCGCAGCGCCTGATGAGCTATAGCCTAAACTCCGTTATTGTTTTTATCGGGATTATACAGGGGACTACAATAGGGGATACTAAGAGGGAGAATAGGAGTTTAAACTATACCTTAACCTACCAAAACCTTTGGTGGCTTAAGGTAGCTCTGGTGGCTCTGCAGTTAGACTAAGCTCACATCAGCCTAAACCCTACTGTAAACCTCAACCCCTGATACCTAAACTCTAAACCCTAATCCCTAAAACCTGAATCCCTAAACCCCTAAAACTCTAAAACCCCAAACCCTAAACCCTAACCCCTAAACTCTAAACCCTAAACCCCAAACCCTAAACCCTATAGCTCCCTTTAAAGGAGAGACTTCCTGGCTCCAGGCACGGGCCCCGGCGCCGGCGCCGGCTGCCCAAGCCCGGGAAGGCAAGGGCTGCAGCTCTGAGACAGTGTAATGTAGGGGCCTATTGAGGCTTTGGGGTTTTAGGCTTTAGGGTTTGGTGCTATTCGATATTATTCGCAATAATTACCTATAGTATTGTGGGGGTTCCCTGATAAGTGTAGTCAGTGTAATGTAGGGGCCTCAATAATAAGAATTAGGGTTCCCTTTAAAGGGGTCCTTAAAAGGGATACTATAAAGGGTTCTATAAGGGGTATAATGTAGGGGCCTTAATAATTAGAATAGGGTTTTGGGGCCCTTTATAGTATAATTATAATAAGGAACCCCAACTCTAATATTGTTAATTATGCCGGCTTCTATAGCAGTCCAAGCAGACGGGGAGTGCCTGGACCCCAAAAGCATGTAGAATAATCGCCCTTTATAGGTTTTGGGCCATTATTTTACCTACCTTTGGGGGTTTAGGTGAGGGGGAGCCAGGTCACCAGCTTGCAACATGTCGGCGCCAGCGATGCGAAACGGTGCGGGTGGTGCTCATCTCATGCTCTCACCACGCCCCGCGGCGCTGCCGTGCCCACCGCTGTCACCCCACAAACTTGTCCTGCAGCTGTGGGCGGTGAATGCTTATACTTTAGGGATTTAGGGGCCTTTGAATTAGAATTTTGGAGTCTTGATCCTGCGATTGAGGCGGCCGAGCGGTGGGGCGCCGCATCGGTGCTGACCCAAGCGTGCCACATGCTTGGGCCTAGTTTTACTGTTCTTATCAGTCTTTATTTCACTCCTGTAGTATTATTTTCAGAGCCAGGCAGTACCATACTGCATCATTGTTATTACGTATCATTACTGCAATGATGATTATTGTTGCTACTATTATTGCATTATTGCATTCTTTTTCATATTATTATTGTCTAGGCTCAGGGCTCAGGGTCTTCGGCTTTGCGGTTTCCGTCTGTGGCGCGTGTAGACATATGTGCATACAGTAGATACATACATATGAGCTATAGTCTAAACTCCGTCATGGGGGGGGGTATAATAGGGATTTTATCGGGAACTTCTATAGGGGATATTAAGAGGGATAATCGGAGTTGAGACTATAGCTCATATACACATGTACATGCATTTGAACCGAAGGCCAAGCGGCTCCCTGCAGAAAAGCATCTTGAGCCAACTTTGTTGTTTTTCACCCCCTCTCCACACCTCTCGCACAGACACACACACACACACACACACACACACACACACACACACACACACACACACGACAGAAAAGCAAAACCTCGCTCCCTAACGAAGAACACCTCATTTGCTACGAACGTGACGCGGCTGGAGCCCTATACACCCAAACTTGCCACTGAGGCCGCTGCATGTGGAATTCATGCATCGCTTGGGCTTCCCAGTACAACTACTAGTTCTCCTGATTCAGAAAACCTAGGGTTCTGGATCGAAGGACGGTTAACCCTAAACCCTCGACCCTAGACCGCAAACCCTAAACCCTAAGCCGCGGTCTAGGGATGGCATGCTCACTGGAGAACAGGGCCAGGGCCTGCTGTGTCAGGTTTGCCCTGAGTGCCCAAGCTACGTTAATTTACCAAAACCGCACTTGCTATATACATTCTAACATGGAATTTTTGGGGGCCCGACACAAAAGCAGGCTCTGGCAGGTTAAGCTAGGGAGCCTACTGCGGCCAACGTTAGGCTGTAAAGAAGACGGACTGCACGCGTGGATTCCAAAACAATTCCTTTGCTCTCGAGCCCCACCCAAACTCCGGTGACCCGATGCACGTGAAGGTTTTGAGGCACCCGGAAATTAATCCTCATAGCCACCCTCATGGGGGCGCCAGCCCTTTTCAAAGACAAGAGCATGCATGGGATCTAGCGAATGTCTCGGAGTTAGATCGGCTTGGGATTTTCATGTGGGGTCGGGGTATGACGACTCTGAGCCCTGCAGCCCGTCGATATAAGAAGCCATCCTCCCTCCACGTCTTCTCTCTGAACGCATCCCTACAACTCCAAATTGAATCCTAGGCTTCCGGGCCTCTATTCTCCGTGCCGTCCGACTCCAGGCCCTCTAAAGCCTAAACCGAGCCTTACAAGGCACGCCCGCTGCGGCCATCTCAGCTCAATTCGATCACGGCAAGTGTGAAGGCAGATAAAGGCAGTGTGAAGGTATAAAGTAAGCTCTTCTGCAACGGCGCTTGTCGCCATGTCGCTGGTGAATGCCGCGTACTGGGGACTGGGCTGCCTGGAGGGGCTGCCACTGAGCTGCACGTAGCGTTCCACGCCCATGGTTTAATTTGGGCGTAAGGGTTCGATGCAAGGTCGAACATCCTCGAACAGTCGCTTGAGCATGGCTTGTGCGAATCACCTTTTCCAAGGTGGGAAGAGTTGGCGGCGCGGTTTCTCGGCTGGGGATGTAGAAGGGCCATTTCCGGCTTCTTGCACTGCGGTGCTTCCTTATGGCTCATATGACGGTTTTTGCTTGGACGCGAAAGTTGAGGGGATGCAGCATTGCCGTGGTGGGCAGCGGTTCACTATAGATGTTGTCTGGATGAGCAGGTGGACGTTTAGACTCCAGCGCCAATGCGCTGCAGTGTAGCGAGAGCAAACCTCGTGACCGCCAGCGCACGAAGCCCGCAAAAAAAGCTTGAGTTTAGCCCCTACTGCAACCTCAGACATGCTCAGTTGTTGGACCGAGAAGTTGCGAGCCCGGTCCGGGGATGGGTTTCGGCAAACTGTAGACTGTAGACGTGAGTCGCGTTCTCCAACTGCTACTGTCTGCGTGTGCCTCTGCCTCTGTCTCTGCCTCTGTCTCTGTCTGTGTCTCTGTCTGTGTCTCTGTCTCTGTCTCTCTCTCTCTCTCTCTGTCTCGCTCTCTCTCTGGGTTAAGGTACCTCTAGTCTGACTTTGAAAGTTGCCTGCCTCTCCCAGTATAGGCACTCTTGCCACGATGTGTCCAACGAGACCGTGGCCATCAAGAAGGTCTGCATCTTGTTTTCCAGGTGTACCGTTTTTGTTTGCATGTGAGAGTGTGCATGCACGCAAACATGCGTGCGTGGGAGCACGGAAGTTGTGAGTTTCGGGGTGTTCGGGGTCAGTTTCGGTGTTCAGTTTCGCGGGCGAGTTTCGCCTCCGGCACGGGTGGGTCGGTTTCGGATCGGGGCGGGTCAGTTTCAGCACGGGCCTGGGTCAGTTTCGGATCGGGCGTGGGTCAGTTTCAGGTCTAGGGCAGTAGTAGTAATAGTCGTCGTCGTCGTAGTAAGTAGTAGTACTAGTACTAGTTCAGGCGACCTGAAGTGGAGGCAGCTCAGGGTTCAGGGTTTCGAACTTGGGTTTGGGATTCGGTTTTGAGTTTGAGGTTTCGGGTTTGGTACTGTGGGGTTGGGGATTGGGGTTGAGGGATGTTGAGGGTGTAAAAGCGCCATCCATTCTGCTACGTGCGACTCGCACGCGCGGTGCCGAGAGCTGACCAGAGAGTGCAGGACGTTCCCACAGCTTGGAGTTGCTGGTTTTCTGCGCTTAGTAAAGCTTAGTGTTTAGGGTTTAGGGTGCGCGGGCATCCGAGCATTGACACAGGATCGGAAATCGTCTTCTGGACGGCCAGATTAATTTAAAAGCTTGAACTGCCGGGAGCATTTGTGTTTGTGCTGCGGAAGCCTGGTAGCCATGCTTAGCCATGCTGGACGACTCTCGCCAGTACTTGCAGGTTGGCCGAGGAGAGGTTTTCGGCCCCACTGCCATCGCCCAAATGGCACTAGTTGAGTACTTGGACCCTCGGGGGATGTCATCAGGAACCTTTGCAGAACCCGACTGTTTGAATATCTGCTTTTCGCTCTATTTGGTTCTGTACATGCTTCTATTTGTAGCTAAGACATCTATATGATATGTGCTATTAGTTTTTGACGTTTACACTGACGTGAGCATCCTCGAACGTCCCATCTAGGAGAGCCAATATTGTAAATAGTGCTGTTCGCTCAAGCCGTGAAACTGCTTAAGCAACAAACCATGTCCTGTGTGGTTTTGGCACTTATTACCGGGCCCACTAGCTTGCGCTTTTGTTGTTTTGGGGTTCGGAGTCTAGGGCTGCAGGGTCTACACAGGTTTACGGTTGTTACACTTTTGGTGGTGAGGGTGGCAAAGTTTACCGGAAGGTGGTGAGGGTGGCAGAATTCACCGTACAGAAGCGTGAGAGGTAGTAGTCGGCGTCGTGGTGGTGACTGTGGTGATTGCAGATCAGGGAAGGAAGGATGCTGATTGCAGGGAGGTGGTAATCGCATGTGACGTACGTGCCGCACAAAGTTAGCACAGTATGCTTTCAAAAACGTGAAGCCAAAAGTCACGTTGCACATCCTGGTGCCTACCACCTTGCGACAGGCAGTGAGCCGTCTGCGGGAGGAGCATGCCGGCGGGCTGGCGCAGCAGCACCAGCAGGAGCTGGAGGCCATCAACAATGAGATGGCCAGGAGGACGGATGAGCTTCCAACGGAGCAGCAAGAGAAGCTGCGTGAGAGAGAGGGCAAGCTGTGGCAGCAGCAGAAGGATCTGTCCGCGAAGTACGCCCAGCTGCAGGCAGAGTACGAGCAAGCGCAGCAGGAGGCCAGTAGCAGTCTCCAGGCTCGGGATGCTTTGGAGAGAGCCGTCCAGACAGCATGGGATCAACAAGTGGAGCTTGAGCGGAAGCTGGAGGGCAGTCGCGCAGACTGCGAGGCCCGCGAGGTGCAGCTGATGAAGCTTCAGCAAGAGCACGGCAGCTTGCAGCAGCAGCATACGGAGCTGCAACAGGCCCACAAGTCCCTGCAAAGGGAGCATAAGCGATTGCAGACAGACTTCGAGCGGGAACGACAAAGCCTGCAAGCCGACATCTCGGATGCAAAGGCGAGGAGAACATGCCACAATTTGGACACAAGCTTAGAATTTGTGAAAGGTTCAAATGACTTTCCAGAGTGGCGCTATATGGATAGAACACGGTAATCGTGTAGTTACTCTAAACGCTAAACATCTGAATTTGCATTCCTTTGCTCTAAGCATTCCTTTGCTCTAAACATATTGGGACAATAACTTGTTCGCAATACGTTTAGGGGAGATTTTGTCCCAATATGTTTAGTAGTTAGCACTCTAAACATTGTGCTTGCGCGCCTTTGCGGGTGTTTACAGGCAGCCGCATTCGACACAATCATGCAGATGCGAGCTTCGAGGCTCGTCAACACGGATTCAACTGGAATGTGGCTTGACAGCTGGAGGCAAATTGAACTGTTTGTCTTTGTTCCCTATTGCTGGTATAGCTGGCACATGTGACATTTCTTGACTTCAACGGTTGCAAGCCCGAATGGTTGGGCAGGTGAGGTGTTGAAGACGCCCGAATGAACTCATGTCCTTCGTTTAGGACCTCGCCTGCCGCGATCCGACGAGACGACGAAGAGACGTGGCAGCCCCGGCGATTAAACGCCCAAATGCAGTCTCCGGGCCCTCGGGTGCTGGGAACTGCTGCAGACCTTCTGCCTGGCACAGGATTCACCAGTCCGACTTTGACTTCGGGTCGCTTCATCAGGCCTGTGCGCGTGTCTTAGAGGGGCCAGCATTGGTCGGAGGCCCCAACATATCCTGAACTGCGCGAATTTTCGCGGCTTCAAGGCTGCGGCTCAGCTCTTCGAGCAGCCCAAGCCAGTTCCAGAAAGCGTCCAGCACAAGGCCTGTCCAAAGCACTCGGAAAACAGTGCCACCATGGGACTGCGATGCCTAAGGTCATCGAGGTCTTCCGGCGGTCTGGCAGCCGGGAGATGGATGCAAAGACTTTTCGGGACCTTTGGAACCGCGCCTTCCCGCACGAGAAGCTGGAGTTCAAGGACTCCGCATGCGGGCATGCTCTCAAGAGCCGGGCGAGGGACGAGACAGAGGGAGAGAGAAGAAATCCCCGAGTATTTGCACTGAGGATTACGGCGATGTCAAAGGCTTGCTGGGCAACATCCCTATTGTCGAGAAGGCCAGGATGTGCGGTTAAGTTGGGGAGTATTCGCTCAGATTCGTGGTCGTCGGTCTCCGGGAGTCTTCAGAGTACTCGGAGGTTTTTGTCGCTGTCAGGTGACCACGTACATGCTGAAGAGCGAGGTCGATTTCGTGCCGAACGACGAGGTGCACCGAAGCCTGCCTTTCGGAAAGTCGTTTGCTCGGAAGATTGCTGAGAGTCTGAGATTTTTGGGCCTTACCGTCAAGTCTTTACATCCCTGACTCCAAGCTCGCATGGCCACGTCGAAGACCCAGATGCAACGCGACAACCGTCTTTGCGAGACGTTCGGTCCTTGGTGGCTTTCCGCGCTCAGACTCCTCACAGGCCACAAGCTCTGACGCGGATGCAAGGCCTGTTCAGGGTTGAGGCTGCCCTTGCGATCCTTTGATTGTTTTCCGCATGCGTGTTTTGAGGAGGGTGCAGAAAAGCTCTCGAGTATATGTATATATATATATATATATTTTTATATGATCCCGGTTCGGCCGGCCCCCCCCCTCCCCCCCCCAATGGTTGGTAGCCCTTCAAACTCGCTGTTTTGTGGTTACCTTGTGTGGTGAGGTTCTCCCCTGCCCCCCCTCTGTGGTGTGGTTGTGGTGTGGTTGTGGGTTGCTTCCCCCTCCCTGTGGTGTGGTGTGGTTCGGGGGTGGGTCTGCTCAGGTTTCCCCCACTCCCCCCTGTGGTGTGGTGTGGGTTTGGGTTTCCTGCGTGGGTCTGCTTGGCGTGTTTGGTATACTGATCCTCATGATGATGATAATGATGATGGTGGCGATGATCATCAGCAATATCATTATCACAGTCGTATCAGTGTTTCTTTGGTTGGTCGCCGGGTGTCTTCTGCCCACGTGCCTGGTAACGATTGTCGCTTTTTTGATCGTAGGGCCACGATCTTCGTGACTGTTGTAGTTGTGCGCTTGGGGGCCAATTGCCACCTCATATTAAAGAGTCGTGCCTGAAAACTGTGTGCCGTCACAAGGATCGGGCATCTTTGGGACGCCATCTTCGTGACAGGTGACGGTTTTGGTGTGGAAAAAGCGTGCACAGTCACACAGATTCGGCTTGGGGAGCGTGCGGGGGTGGGGAGGGATACCATTGGGGGGGGGAGGGGGGGGGCTCGGCGAACCGAGAACCGGGATCATATATGTGCATATTTGTAGGCCCAGTGGGCTTTGTTGCTCGGTCTACTAAGTGTGAAGTGCATAGCATCGCACACCGCTGCCAGCATCTCGCCAGATAATTGTACGCAAGTGGAAGAACCCACCCATGTTGCGGCGAGCGATCGCTCCCTGCCACCTTATTCCGGCAAGGTTGTGGGGTTTAGTTCCTGCGCTCGTCCCCGATGAGGCCAGCTGCGGTAGCGGTGCCAGCGGTGCAGCCGCAAGAGCCGCTCGGCCCTCAGCGAGTGAAGCTGCGGTGCAATAATTGAGACAAGCCGGATGTCTTCAGAGAGTTTGAGCCTGACGGGTGTGTCGAGGGGATGTCATCATCGTTTTGGAGTTTTGCTCTGTCTCTGGCACGGGCTCCAGGGGCTTGAGACCTTGAAGTCTGAGTTTAGAACCTGTTCAAGACCGGGCCCAGTACTCAGGCAATGTAGGCGCCTGAAGACTTAGACTAGGGTTCCGGGGGCTGTTGTTCGATAAATTGAATCAGGAAGCCTCGACTTGCGACCGGGTGGCAGCTGAAGGGTGCTGCGTGATGTGTGCAGTCCCTGTAGGTGGGGGCTTGAAGCCCGGTGGTGTTTAGCCGAATGAGCCAGCTTGAGATACTTGAGCCCGCACCCAGCAGTTGCTCGTGTAGAGTGCGACCTCGCCGTGGGTAGATCACCAGAGCAACCGAATGGTGAGACCAGGCAGCAGCACCGCAGCGGCTCGCCACGATCCTCGGACTCTGGCTTTGTGGCGGCCCAGGCCGAGAGATGCCGGAGAGCGCGACCTGAATCGAACACCCCGCCCCTGGTTGCGAGGAGATCATCCGACTCCAGCAGGAGGCGGCCTTCTTTCCTTCGACCTAGACGCACCGAAGTTAAGAAATGTATAGACGATTAAGTTAAAATAAAGCAAATAGATCATCAGAGTTGTCAGACAGCAATCTCATTCAATGCCACAACCAGTAGCTGCAAATCAGAATATGCGAAGTCGATCGACGGCATGCGACGCATGCAGGGTGCATGCCAGCAGGTCAGCCGTTTGCGTTTCCTGCTCCACAAGGCCCTGGCCTCAGCGATGTTGGATCTGTGTTCGACTCCTCTCCAGACGGAGAAGAGGAGTCATGGTCGTCGTCATCGTCGCAGTCGCAGTCGTCGTTGTCGTCGCTGCTAGTAGTAGTCTAGTAGTAGTAGTAGTAGTAGTAGTAGTAGTAGTAGTAGTAGTAGTAGTAGTAGTAGTAGTAGTAGTAGTAGTAGTAGTAGTAGTAGTAGTAATGGTGGTAAGTGGTGGTGGTGATGGCAGTACAAGTATTACTGGTTCTAGCATTCACCCCGGGCTTGTCTTTGTAGTAAAGCCCAAAAAAGCGTGAGATGGAAAGTTCGACCCTGGCCGGAGTGGGTGTCTCACAGCTTCCCTCCTGACCCTATACCCGAAACCCTTCATCGTAGATGTCAGGGTTTCTGTGTGCTTCTCGAAGGTCATTCTCAGCTTCACATACTTCGGTTCCGTCCTACGCATGCACCATACCCAAATTTGAAAACATTTCAGGAACGGCATCGCTGCATTCACAGCTGCCGAGTTCAGGCTTTGGGGCATGCCAGGTGCATGCAAGAATCCTCGAGGTGAAATCCTAGCACTGTGTCAAATTTGAGGGTTTCAGGTTAAGGCTTTCTGGGATTAAGGCTGCCGGGCCCCAAGACAGGTTTAAGGAGGGAGCGATTTCAAGGGACCTTGTCGGGCAGCCTGCGAGTTTGGACAAGTGCCCTGCGACTTTGTCGGATTACAGGGAAGCTTTTGCCCAAGAAGGTGACGTCTCGCGGTGGAGGTTTCAAGCCCTCGACCCCAAACCCAGCACCCAAAAGCTGGAACCATAAACTATCTTAAACTCGATGGCCAAGGAGTCCAAGGCAGAGGATGCTGCTCCCGTTGCTTCGGTGGCACGTTCGGGTGGCGAGTTGACATCGTATTAGCCGTTTTGGATTGAAGACGGTAACAACTATTGCTTCTTAAGAAGAAAGTAGCTGCATCGTACTTCTAGGAGTAGCAGCAGTAGTACTAGTCGAAGCCGCAGCAGCAGCAGCAGCAACAGTCGCAGTTAGTAGGCGCAGTCGTAGTAGCAGTCGAAGTAGTTGGACGAGTAGGAGGAGGAGAGTAGTGGTAGTGGTAGCCGTAGCCGTAGCCGTAGTCGTAGTCGTAGTAGCAGTAGTAGTACTTATTTTCGTAGTAGTAGTAGTAGTAGTAGTGGTGGTAGTAGTAGTAGTGGTAGTGGTAGTGGTAGTGGTAGTAGTAGTAGTAGTAGTAGTAGTAGTAGTAGTAGTAGTAGTGGTGCTAGTGGTGCTAGTGGTAGCGGTAGTGGTAGCGGTCACGATAGCGGTAGCGATAGTGGTAGTGGTAGTGGTAGTGGTCGCGGTGGTGGTGGTAGTAGTAGTAGTGGCAGGAGTAGTAGTAGTAGTAGTAGTAGAAGTAGTACTAGTACTAGTACTAGTACTAGTACTAGTACTAGTACTAGTACTAGTACTAGTACTAGTACTAGTACTAGTACTAGTACTAATACTAGTAGTAGTAGTAGTAGTAGTACTACTACTACTACTACTACTACTACTACTACTACTACTACTAGTACTAGTACTAGTACTAGTAGTAGCGGCAGCAGCAGTAGCAGCAGTAGCAGTCGTAGTAGCAGTAGAAGCAGGAGTAGTAGTAGAAGTGGTGGTGGTGGTGGTAGTAGTAGTAGTAATCCCTTCCCTCTACTATTAAACGCCACCGCCCCCCTTCAACAAAAGCTAGGAAAGTATGTTTTAATATGAGGGGCGAGTTTGATCTCTGCTGTCACTTTCGAGGAATCTTGCCCTTGCTCCTGCTCTGGGTCTTGCGCCCGCGTTTGCTCTTGCTTCTGCTGTTGCTATTACTCCTGCATTTGCTGTTGCTCCTGCTCTTGCTCTTACTCCTGATCTTGCTTTTCCTCTTGCTCTTACTCCTGCTCTCGCTTTTGCTCTTTCTCTTACTCCTGCTCTTGCTGTTGCTCCTGCTCTTGCCTTTGCGCTTCCCCCTGCTCTTGCTCTTACCCCTGCTCTCGCTTTGGCTCTTGCTATTTCTCCTCCCCACAACTCAGAATTGGTTTTAAAGGGCCGGTGTGATTTCGGGAGGATGGGGCCGAATGTGTCTTTTTTAAGGGTGGTTTCCAGTAGTCGTAGTAGTAGTAGTAGTAGTAGTAGTAGTAGTAGTCGTAGTCGTAGTAGCAGTAGTAGTAGTAGTAGTAGTGCTAGTAGTAGCAGTAGTAGTAGTAGTAGTAGTAGTAGTAGGAATAGTAGTCGTAGTAGTAGCAGTAGCAGTAGCAGTAGCAGTAGCAGTGGCAGTGGCAGTGGCAGTAGCAGTAGGAGTAGGAGTAGGAGTAGCAGTAGGAGTAGGAGTAGGAGTAGTAGTAGTAGTAGTAGTAGTAGTAGTAGTAGTAGTAGTAGTAGTAGTAGTAGTAGTAGTGGTAGTAGCAGTAGCAGTAGTAGTAGTGGCAGTGGCAGTCGCAATCGCAGCCGCAGTCGCAGTAGCAGTAGCGGTAGCAGTAGCAGGAGTAGTTAGTATTAGTATTAGCATTAGTATTGGTAGAATTAGTAGTATTGGTAGTACTAGTAGTACTAGTAGTACTAGTAGTACTAGTAGTACTAGTAGTACTAGTAGTACTAGTAGTACTAGTAGTAGTAGCAGCAGCAGCAGTTGCGGTAGTAGTTGCAGTAGTAGCAGTCGTAGTAGTCGTCGTCATCGCAGTAGCCGTTGCAGCAGTAGCAGTAGCAGTACTAGTAGGTGTAGTCGTCATCGTCGTGGTGGTGGTGGTGGTGGTAAGCAGGAGTCGGCGTGGTGGTGGTGGCGGTGGGGGTGCTGCTGGTCGTAGTGGTAGTGCTAGTCGTCGTCGTCGTAGTTATCCGTCGAACAGTCGTAGCCGTGGTCATGGTCGTAGTCGTAGTCGTGGTGGTGGTGGTGCTGGTGGTGGTGGCAATTGTAGTGGTAGTGGTAGTGGTAGGTGTCGTGGTAGTGGCAGTGGCCGTGGTATTGCTGTAGAAGTCCTCGTCGTGGTCTCCGTGGGTGTGTAAGATTCAAGAATGCTGGGCGGTGAAGAAACGCCAGGCTCTTCTCGACAGATCTTGTCAAATCCTGCAGATTGCAAGAACTAGACGCCGCCTAGACGGCATGTATGCAAAGCAACCTTCTTGCAGCATGCATCCCGCAAATAGCTGCTCTTGCACTCATGTTCTCTTCTTAAGTGTGCCCCACGGAATTCCTCTCGGACTCTCAGGTGCTCGAGGAAAAGCAATGGCGGGTTCCGCCACGCTTCGGCGGCATGGTTTGGAGTGGTGGCGCAGTCCCGTTCAGCCTTGAACAGTGATTTGTAGGCCGGCCATAGGTCATGGGGGCTGTGTGTGCAGGACTTGTATGTCGGAGTGTCCGAGTTAGGGCACTTGGAAGACGTAGAACCCTACTAAGACCAACTTCCTGCTGTCACTTCGTTTGTTGTTTTTTGTGGACTGCCTGCAAAGTAAGCAGTTCAACAAGTTACCTGCCTGCAGTGTCCGACAATTTTCCAGACCACAGAAGCAGCAGCAGAAAACATGTGCAAGATTCAGGTGCTGGCTTAATTCCTCTCCAACCCGAAGCAAACTAGTTTGTTTCATTCCCTGTCTTTAGCCATGTTACACCTGACCTGGTCGTGCTCGCCATCTCATTTCATTGAACCTCCACATCTGCCGAGCGGTTGCACTCGAAAAATCAGCCTTCCGCCTTCGGAGTTGATTGAGGCTCTGGGCGTAGGAAAGTGCCAGCCGTGGCGGCCCCGTCGGTTATGGAAGCCAGCAATTGGCCAAAAGCATCCACAAGCAGCACGCCTGAGGAGAGGGCAAGCGAATGCATGCATGGCCATGGTCATGTTATGACTCGCGACGGTCATTCACTCCTGCCTGCACGGTGCCTCGCAACCCTCAAACGATGAAGCAGTTCACCCGAAGACGTCATCCGAAGACTTATCGTTAAAACCGGAGCTCCGGACATCGGGCCATGGCCGATCAAGGGGAGCCGCTCCGGCACGAGGCGGCACATGGCTGTAAGATTGTTCCATGCAGGTGATGGAGTGTTTCTCTCTAAGTTCTGCATGGCAAGCTAGATGTTGAACAACTTGGGTCGTATACGGATTTCTTTGACGATTGGTGTTTATGCGGGTTCTGCAAATGTTCGCTAAATCTGTGTAAGGTTTGTGGAAATGCTTTAGTGGGCTCTTCTTCCACCTAGAAGGTTGGGACTCTTCCAGGGCTAGAATGGGGTTGGAGGTTAAGACTTCGAGATACGACTATGGGGCTTAGCACAAGCATGTGGCGTCCTGGTTAGACTCAACGACCCCGACCTAAGCCGCACATGCCCCCAGAAAATGACTCGGAATGTCAAGGGCCTTGTGTTTCCCAGGGACTCCAAAATCCTGCAAAATCTAGTGATGAATTCAACCATGTTTCGTACATCATGTCTTTGTATGCGCCTTAACGAAGAGTGCTGTCCAAAAAATCGTATAAAGCCTATATATGCCCTTGTAGAACCCCGTAGCCCTCAAGTACAGGAGACTTGAATCGAGGGGTACTGTTTCAGGGGCTGGCGGCTTCAAGGTTTAGGGATCTGCGGCTTGGAGATTTAGAGTTAGACTGTAGGGTACGAAGCGCATCGCAAAATCCTTGTGAACCTAGCCCATGGTTGTGATCGCTGCTGTCGTGCCAGCAAGATAGTCAAGAATCCTACTTTTGAATCTAGGTCCAGTGTGTTTCGCCGGCATCGCCCCTCGAAACGAGCGGGACACGCATCTGCCGGTTCAAGTTGTCATCAACCTTTCTCAATGAAGCTCAGCACTTTCCTTCCGGACCTGCAGTGCTGGGTCCCACCCTAAACCCTAAACCCTAAACCCTGACTTTGCATTGAGCATCTTGCAGCCCTGAGTGGCCGGAGATTCGAGTGTCCAGGAGTCCATGTTTTGAGTCTTGGGGCTTGGACCAACAAGTGAGGTATAGTCTAAACTCCGTAATGGGGGGTAATAATAGGGACTCTATAGGGGACTATTATGGGGGATGTTAAGAGGGATAATAGGAGTTTAGACTATAGCTCAAGTGAATTCGGCGTCCTGGCAGTTAATTGGGCCACCGATGTGCAAAAACAACGTACTGCTAGTAGATGTTGATTGGGACCGTGCAAGTCCATGCTTGGGTGCTTTACCGTGTTTTGCCGGTCCTGATAGGTGCAGCCATTTCGGCATGCGGTGGTTAAGTAGATCCGCGTTCGAATGACGCCGGTTGAATTGGGCAACGCGAAACCCTTAATGTAGCATCCTCTTGAGTATGCCAAGCCCCCGCAACTTCAGGAGGTGTCCTGCACCTCAACGGCAGCCCCATGCCAGTAGTCAGTAGTAGTATACTGTCCCCATGTAGCCAGAATACAAGCTGTAGCACTGGCAGCAGCACCCGCTCATTCTAAACTGACCACTCATTCAAAACTGACCACGAGTAGCTAAAGAACACCAAAGCATGTTCCGACAAGAAAACCTTCACAAGCTGAGCGAAATCGTGAACTATAGCCCGAGCAACTTCACCGTGAAGAAGGTCACTTTACTAAAGAGACTCCTGCGTTAGTTAAGCCCCAGCCTGCACGACACGGGAGGCTTTGGGCCTCGACGCGTCGTTGGCGAGGCCGAACTCTTTCCAGGAGTATCCTGTCCTGAAGCCTACTGAGAGTTCTTACACATTTAAAAAGTCTATCCGAATATGTAAAAACCCGATTGTTGCCTCGCTAGTTCCTGGGTCCAGTGAGTTTCGTTGAAGGGTGCCTCTAGTCATGAGTTTGCAAACCACAGTCCGGACCAAGACTGCAGGGCAAAACAGTGACATTACGTGAGTATCATTGTATTCTACGGTATATGGCTTCCCGATGAAGGCAGTAGTCGTGAGGCCAACGTTCAGAGCTTGAGCTACTGCCCAGCCCCATGTCTACAGCACGGAATCCGAAATCTGCACGGCAAAACCGTCCCACTCAAACGAGAAGCTTTATCGACGTTAGGATCAGCCTGCTGTTCTGTTTGCCCCCAGCTCCAGCTGAATCTCCAGTCGTTTGACGATGTTAGGGGCCGGGGGGCTTTGTGGTACAGGCTTTAGGCTGTTGAGTTGAGGGTTCAGGGTCCAGGATTCAGCGTGAGAAGCCCTGGCTGTTATATCATATTTAGTGGTTTTATTTAAGCGAGTGCGTGTATCAGTCCTAGAACGCATTGACAAAACTGTCTTAGTGATAGCGAGGGCATGTATCAGTCCTAGCAACATCATTGGCAAAACTATTATCCCAACTCTCGAAATCCTGCACTCTAAGTCCTAGCAAAGCCCATACTATGACTGAACAGGGTTCGTCTTGTCGGGCTTGAAGTCTCAGCATCTCTCTGCATTCTACTCGTACTTCGGGCTCTAGGCTCTAGGTGGACCATTTGAGGTTCTCCAATGATGGGTTTCTGGGCTTTCGGGTGTAGCGATCTACGGTTTCAAAGCATCGACACCTGAATATCGAGGGAAGGGGCCGTGGAGCACCGAGATTAAGCTTACCGCGTGGAGCCGCAGGTGCATGCCAGTGATTCCAATGTACGGAGGCCCGGGTCAGGACGAGAAGCACTTCGTGGCTTCAGTGGAGGGGCACTAGGGTTTTCGGGCTTTTGGGCTTGTGAAGCTTAAGGTTTCTGGGTGGTTTCTCAAGGGATCCAGGGTGAAGAGTTTAACTGGGGTTCAGGGCTTTTTTTGAGCCAGCGCGGGAAGGTGAGGGCAGCGGCAGAGCTCTTAGTGGCGGACACCCCGTGACCTCTGTTGCGATACATGGCAGTGAAGAAGTTCGGGCTCAAGAATCAAATTCCCATATTTTAGGGTCCTTAAGGTGATGCAGGATTTATATCATCAACAGTATTGACTATTGCGTACAGACATTCGCTCACGTACCTGCGAACGGCTGTACTGTTAAGTTGTAACTTACCATGTTTTGCTCCGGCTCGTCTCAGAATGGCGGCTATGTTCCGGTGTGCGCAGTGCTGGAAGCGTCTAGTTGCGGTTAGCGTATATCGAGAACTGTTCGTGCTCTTCGCGAGTTGTTTTCGAGGCCTGGCGGTCTGGCCGGTCCAGTACATAATTGCACATCAGTCTGATCGGATATTCAGACTTGTGGTGCGTAGCTGATGTAGGCAGGGACGGACAACGGATTGCCACAAAATCGTGTTGCAGAAATTCCATGTTGTCTAGCGATGGCAATTCTTGCGTTAGGTCTCAGCCCGCCGGCTCACTGTATTGGCATAAAGCTCGTCGGGATACAGTGACACAGCTGAACAACTTCTGGATTGCTGCTCTCTTCGTACTGCCTGCGCAGGATGTGTACAGCTCGTTCCCTTCACCGGATGGCGGCAAACCGATCACATTCCAGGGGCTCATCCTGAACAAATGCTGCTGGGTGCGAAGTTCTGAGATCCATAATTCTTAGCGTTTGGTGATGTCAGTGAGTTCGGGAACATTCCAGAGCCATCGCAAAGATGGTTCGAACGTCGCTCGGAGCCCCCCCACTCGATTTAAGAAAAGCCTCCAAGCTCCAAAATCTCAAAGCAGCACAATGACGCTCTTGCGAGGTCAACGTGACCTGCTTGCATCCAAGGACATCACCGCAGAGCAGTTGCTTGGCTTCGTGGGTTTATATGGGCGGAAATGAACTGTTCAATTTCTTCGTTCTTGCATTGAGGTACTCGGCAGCTTAAGGAGGTCCATCGTGTATATGCTCGCGCCCGCTGGTATCTTGCTATGTCCCCCTTGCATCATTGACTTCTTGTGCTGTGGACTGCGCTACGGGTTCATTGAACCTCAACCCCTTTTTACGGGAACAGTGCTCTTCCACACTGGATGGCCCAGGAATGAAGGTTTTGATGACGAACGCCAGAAAAAAAAGGCTGGAGACTCCACCCTGGGGGTCGGAGCCAGCGGTTCCTTCAAGAGGGATATTGCAGGGGCTACTACAAGGGTTTGGGAGCCTTGCCAGTTAGAAAAGGGTTCGTTTTCAGGTTGGGGGTTCCGGGTTATGCTCGTTGTTGGAAAAAGGGCTTGCGACACCCTGACCAGGGTTGTTGGCATTTTGGGGGAGGGGGGGTGGGAAGCGAGTCAGGCTGTTAGTGCAACGAGCATACTACTCAGTCGGTTTTAACCTTGAGCACTCCCGTGACGGGCTCAATAACGGCAGTGATAATTCGTCAGCAACTAGTAAGAGCCGTCATCACCAAAACACATATTGTCACATATATATATATATATATATACACATATGTACATACTGTATATATGTGTGTATAAGTCCCATGATCCTTTAGGCATCCGCCACTGGGACGGCAGGACCGGCAGGACTCTCAGTTTCTGAAGGTCAAAGCCACCGAAGGTTGCTGCCAAACTGGCATTTTTTCTAGGGGTCTAGATAGGGCGTGGTGCTTTCGACCAGGGGTCTAGGGCTTAGGGCTTAACGTTTATGGCTGAGTGTTTAGGTCAAGTGCAGGGTGGGCCACTTTCAACTTGGTGGTGCTGCCTGGGATGCCGGGATGTCAGAGGATTCGAAGAGTCTCTGTGACGAGTGTGCTGCCGCATGCGGCATTGGCTTTTCATCGCCAGAGGCCTGCGCCAGAGGCCTAAGATAACCATTGCAGTTTTGCAGCCAAGGCGTTTCTGCACGCCGTGGCTTGGATCGCGGTGATTTCGGGAACGGGACGAGGGTTCAGCCTCTCACGAAGATTGGGTCGAAAGGGTTTGACATGTGGGAGGAGAAAAAGACCACGTTCATCTTCGAGGTACTTGTAAGTTCTGCAGTTCTGCAAACACCGAAAGGCCAATACGTGCCGCAACACCGTTTTTTTGTCCGTTTCCATTCCCTTATATATTATCCCTATATACCACGGGCGTCCAAAGTGGTTCCTTAACCCAGTCGTTTCGGTTAAGCGCACCGTTAATTGCAAGCATGTCTGGGGAAGTGTGTGAACTGAAGGGGCCGTACAGTAGTGCTTCATGAAGGACTCAGCAGGGGGTGGATCCTGCGGCAAAGTCCCGATAGAGGGCCTGGGCTTAGATTCGGTTTAGTGCAGTTCAAATGGATGGAGCATTGTTATGCTGACAGAATGCAAGAGGATGTTGTGAGAAGGCCAGTGCCCGGGTTAGCGAGGCACGCTGCGGGGATTTTAAGGTTCCAAACGCAGACATGTAGAAATTGCGCGGGGCATAGGGGGGCCCTCTTACGTCAACTAAAGCTCAAGGCTCATGTTTCGGTTTGGCTGGGCCTCTTTGGGAAATAGCCTTTAGAAGCCTGCCTCACCATGTTCTGGAGGTGTTACAAGGATAACATGGTGAAGTGACTAAACCCTAAACCCTAAACCCTAAATCATAGCAAGAATGCTGTATTAGCACTCCCCAGGCTCCGGATCATCCTCCTTCTACTGCTGCCATCTCTGAGCTGCTACTCCTGCCACCGAATACTTCTGCGGCTGCTAATACCCCTGAGCCCTAAACACTAGACCACACTATGATTAGCAACATGCCGCGACTGCCGCTTCCCGTTGCTTCTGCACTGCTACTGCCGGATCTCTTTCTTTGGCCGCGGTGGCCGACAATGACTACGAAAAACCATGATTATTTTGAAGGGCGTGGAGTTTCTCATATTTGTACCGCTGGCGTTAATTTCATTGTTTACTAGCCTGAGTGGTGCAAGATTCTCTTGACCCACTATAGCAAAGGAGATCTTGAGAACACATTCCCAGAACGAGGGTGGAATGCCTTCCCCCTGCCCCAGGCAAAGCTGAAGTTTTGGAAGCCGGCAAACCCTGCTCTTGGGCCGCATCTGCTGTTTGCAGCCAACGGCCAAGGGCTACAGGTTTGGGGGCTTAAAAATATCGGGCTTATTGACGCGGTAGTCAGTATACTTATTATAGTGCTTATGTTCGGGATCCTTTCCGCATTTTTCTAGACCCGTTTGAGCACCATTTAACCTAGGCGCAGCAGTGGCATCGTCGTTTCACGGCGGCATGGCTGCCCCTGAAGCGGATGGCCCTGAATGCACCAAAGCATCTGAGACATGAGCTCTCCTGGAAATGCGGCTTAAGTTTCAAGAACGGGCGTTCAGGATGTAGGTTTCAGGATTTGGGATTCGGATTGCCTCCCCATATTGCTGCAGTGCGGTTTTTGAAGAAGGGATGTTGACTGCACAGTCATGCTTCAGAAATCGGAGGCCAGGGAAACTGTTACCCTGCGATCAGGCAGCACGTTCCTCGGCCATTCTGGCCTCAAGCCTCAAATCGAAGAGGCGCTTTAGGCTTACTCTCTTTAATGCCTCCCTGCCATGGGTGGGATCTTTCATGAAATGTGGAGGTATGCGACGGTACCGATCAGCTGCTAGCAGAAAGCTTTCGCATCAACGGCGCGCTAGTTGGTTGTCATGGCGAGCACAACAACACATGTCACTTCCTGTTGACAGAATCTGGCTGTTATATCAGCTGGCGCAGGCTACACTGCTGAACACAGGCAAGTTTGGCACTTTTCTTGCAACAACAGGGTTTGAGAGGCTCCGTGGACAGTCTCGCCAGCGTGACATTTTCCCACTGTCACAGCTCTGTGGTCTTGAATGTAAGCCGCAAACCCTCAAGACTCAATGTTGGTGCATCCTGCGTAAGTTTGTCAATGTGGTCATTGGTGCTTTGAACTGGTGTGCCGGTGTTAAGGCTGGCACTCCTGGGCCTTTAAAACGAACTGCTGCGCAGAATGATGTCGTTCTCCGAATCATCGAACGCAGTTTGGACATGTTGCAGCGGTTGCAAACCCCTCAGTCGGGATGTTGGGAGTCACTCGTGCCAGACTGGGTGCCGCTTCTCGAGCGTCCGAACGGGCCCCGGATCGGAGACCTTTGTGCTGACAAAGTGGACGTGCTTCCTTTGGCAGGGCAATGTGATCCGGTGTCTTGTCTGCCCATGGATGTGCAGGAGATTGTGTGCAGCGATGACAAGCTGTTCCTGGGCTCTTCGCACAATCTTGACAACCTGGCCGTGTACGACAATGTGCTTCAAAATGATCGTGCTGAGTACGTAAAATTGGTCGTGCGGCAGCTGCGATCCCAACAGCTTGGCTTGGTGGCAACGGCGAAAGGCGGTGGAACAGTCTTTGCAGTGGGCAAGCCTGGTGGGAAGCGCCAACGTGCAGTTTGGCACGGTCGGCGTGTCTCAGCTGCGGCACAGGCTCCGCCAAAGCCTCGCCATTTGGCCTCCCCCTCGGCATTGGCTTTTCTGGAGTGCCGACCTCAACACAGAGTCAGGTGCAGCAAACGCGATGCCAGTTGCTGGTTCGACCAACTGCGGCTGCCGTGTAAGCTGCAGCGCTGGATGGGGCGCCCGCCGGTGACACTGGACGAGCTTAGGGATGTTGGTGGTATGAACTTTGAAGAAGTCAGTGGTCACTTGCTCCCGGGCGAACAGTGCAACCAGTTTCTTGTGCCTGTCAGTCTGACGTGGCCAATGGGCTTTGCGTGGAGCTCCTACGTTGCGCAAGAGTTTCTGCTTGACATCTGCCGGGCCTCGGACCTTGATGAGTGCAAGGTACTTTCTTGCGAGAGCTCGACGCCTGCCACCTTTGACCTGGTTTTTGCTGCGGCTACTGATGACCTCATGCTGTTCAGCGACGCGGGCCCAGGCGGCACGGCGGCCGCTGCACTGAAGGTGGACCAAGAGTTCACACGCCGAGGAGCCGTTCGCAACTCAGCCAAGGACGTGAATGACGAGTTGAATGCTACATGTGTCGGGATCCAGTTGGAGGAAGGTACACACCTCGGAGTTCCTCCGCCAAGGGTTCTGGCCATGGTACTTACCGCTCTTCACTTGCATCGGTGCCAGGTGGCTTCTCCAAAGGAGCTGCATCAGGCGCTGGGCGTGCAGCAATGGTTTGACTTGCTTTGTCGATGCAAGTTATCCGTGTATGACCGGGTCTACAGTTTTGTCCGGGACCCACTTGACACTGTCAGAAGGAAAGTGCCGGGCCAGGTCCTTTTTGAACTGAGCGTCGGCTTGGTGCTGGGTGTTTTCTGGCGACTGGACCTTCGAAGGGAGTTTTACCCCCTCGTCTCTGCTACTGATGCCAGTACTGAGTTTGGATTTGCTTGCCTCCAGTACTCCAGACCTCGATGACAAAAACTCACTCCCGCGACGAGCATGGCGGCTTGCCACCATGAGTCTGCCTGTCCTGGTACCAGCGCACGCCTCTTGAAGGGAAGTCCGATGGATTCTCGCAAGAAGGGACCAAAATCAAATGGACTTGTAGCTCACCAGCCAGCTCCAAGGCGGCAGCCTTTCGCAGCAACCTGTTAAGCTGGGTTGACGATCGCCCCTTCGTCGCAGCCCCAGCCCACACAGCACTGTCAACGAGCACCACTGCCCGAACGCAATGGCGCCGCCGTGAGCGAAGGAACCATCGCAGCCAAAGCACAAACGCCTCACCCTCGAGCACGTTAATGTGAGCGTCAAACTTCTTTCGGACACTGAACACGTGCACAAAGTCGTTCATGCTCAAGTCGACGTGGTGTGCCTGCCCAAGCCTGCGCGCCGCTTGTTCTGGTAGCAGGCCTCCGTCGAGGACTACAAAAGAGCCCCGTTTTTCTGCCACGCGCGCCAGACGACGAGCCAACTTCACGGGGACCTTAGCAACGCTGGCTCCACTGCCTGGCCGTTATGGTTTCTGGCATGATGTGCAAGGGTCTCTGGTTTTCCATGGCTTCAGGATGATGTTTTTTGAATTTATTTTGTACAGTTGACAGCAACGCACGTCCTTCTGGTTCGTCCGGGCTACAGACGCTGACGAGTTGGAGGTGGGTACCCTGGCGCTTGTTACATCAGGTGCACGCCAGGTCAGGCAAGTGGGCAGGTTGCTGGTGGCTCTTGTTCAGCAGGACTGGGCTGAAAACGGCATGCCTGTGGGGCATGCAGTCCCGCTGTTGAAGCTTTCCACTGCAGCTGCTGTGCAATACTTGCAAGTCTCGTTTCCTCGGCTGGATCGGGATATTCTCAAATTAGCGGCCGCCACCGCCACAGCGGTCGCTGCCAGTCCTGGGAGAGTGGGTGTGGAATCTGCTCTTGTATGGGCCCAAGCTTGGATGCGTTGAGCAGCTCACAACATCTTGCACCTACAGATCCTGTGCAAGTGTCTCAAACATTGCGATGCTGACATGTGGTTTTTGAGCGAGAAATGCGCAGCTGCAGAAGTAAGTGCTGACTGTCACGTCCATCACTGCATCTCTGAGGATCACGGCCGTAGAAGCAAATCAGACAGCAATGCCTCCCCATATTGCTGCAGTGCGGTTTTTGAAGAAGGGATGTTGACTGCACAGTCATGCTTCAGAAATCGGAGGCCAGGGAAACTGTTACCCTGCGATCAGGCAGCACGTTCCTCGGCCATTCTGGCCTCAAGCCTCAAATCGAAGAGGCGCTTTAGGCTTACTCTCTTTAATGCCCGCCCGTTGCACTTCCCTCCCAAAGGGTGTGGAATCTGCTCTTGTATGGGCCCAAGCTTGGATGCGTTGAGCAGCTCACAACATCTTGCACCTACAGATCCTGTGCAAGTGTCTCTAACATTGCGATGCTGACATGTGGTTTTTGAGCGAGAAATGCGCAGCTGCAGAAGTAAGTGCTGACTGTCACGTCCATCACTGCATCTCTGAGGATCACGGCCGTAGAAGCAAATCAGACAGCAATATGTTTTGTGAGTTGGGGTGAGGTTGTGTAACTTTTGTCAAGTTGCGGTCTAGTGTTGTCGGAGCTGGGGTTGGCTGTTGGGTTCAGGCTCAGGATTTCGTAGGGGTGGGAAGAAACCAGGGTGAACAAGGTTTTCCAGCCTTAGCTTTTCAGATGCATGTGCACAAGCTCATGTCTTGGTGCCCTTTGGAGGCTCTGGTATTTGCATGCTCAAGGCTCAAGAAAGCCTGAGGCCATTTGGGCATAAAATGGCCACCGTATCTCCTACGACGAGTGCTTTGCACCAAGTCGATTGAATTCGGTACACGGTGCGTGGGAATGAGGAAGGGCCTGGTTCCTGTCCTCCCCTGTGCTACGCACAGACACCCCGCTTAAATCCAGGAGCCCAAACAAGCTTGGCGTGGGGTTTTTGAAGCCGTTCTAGCTGCTTGTGTTTCTTGCGCAATGCGACGAAAAGAAGTCCCGTCTGTAGACAGCAGACGTTGAATGACCACTGGGCAAGGGTCAAAGGGCAAGGGGCTCAGGAAGGGTTGCTGAAGTACAAACGGTTCATGCAAGGGCCACAGGCCTCTTTCACACTAAGCCCGCCCCTTTGACCAACACGCCCCATAGTTGGAGCCTGTTGCCAAAGGCGATGTGGTTTCGCCTTTCAGGCAGCTGCAATCACCTCCTCCCAGCCGCAATGTCTCTCTGACAGGCAATGAAGTGAGATTTCAGAAGCACTTACTGGAGGTTAATAGGAATAAGGGAATACACCTTCTATATATAATCCCCATGTATATAATGTAGTCTTTTATGAATTATTACCCCCAGTGAGAACATTGATTTTCGCGGCTCTTGTGACTCCCACATGACGGTTCCCTTAATGAAGGCAAGGAGATGAGCAGTCTGCCTCTCTAGATGGCTCTCAGGTCTCTGAACGCCTGCGTCCAGTTCTGTCAGTCTGGTTGCACATGCGTGGGAACGCCCGTGAAACTCTATACCAGCAGGACTTTGAATTTCAGGGCTATGGCTGGACATGCTACACGACTGGCCGACCCAGGACCTGGGCCAGTATTGTAAGCCTTCAAGAAGCTTGGAATGATATGCCACGCAGCACTTAGGGTTCAGGGTTTAGGGCTCATGGATAGTTGACCCTGCTAGCAGTAGCAATGAGATATCAAAACCAAAAACTGCGGTATTGCCAGGGCACGAGAGCAGCTACGGTCGCTCGTCGTCATAAGTGATAACATAGGTGGTAGTGGCAGCAGAGCAGTAGCAGTAGAAGTAGAAGTAGCAGTAGCACTAGGAGTGGCAGTAGAAGAAGGGGACTCAGTAGCACAAGCATTGCTAGAGGGTTGGAGTAAGCCTACAAAATCCGAGGAGAAGCATCTCCTGAGGCCTCAATGTCCGAAGGTCGCCCTCAGAGATTGGCGTTTTGGGATTTAGGGTTTAAGGTTCGGGGTTTAGGGTTTAGAGGGTTAGTAGGCGTTTGTTCAAACCGAGAGCTCGATACTGGTTGAGGGTTCTGGTGATTGAATTGATTTGGGTCCGGGTGTTCGGCAAATTCTTCTACTATTGCATCGTTCAGTTAACTTTGGGCCCGCACTACTTACCAGCATCATTGTTCTAGACTTCTTGTCAAATAGACCTCGCAAATTCTTGTTTCACCCCTGCTTTGCTCTTAGCTTGTGGTCATGCTTGCCTTGATGGTCTTGATTGAGGACGGCCATTTCACGTACTGTCTAGCTCATTGTTGCAGACATGGGGGCTTCCACCAAATTAGGGAGCTTTTTTTTCTCTTGGGGGCGGGTTCCTTAAAGCAGGGGCAGTGCCAACATGCAAAGGCGGAAAGGGAGCCCTTCCCGCTGCTGCTCTCCTTATGAACTTGTAGCCTCCTGGGTTTCCTCTCCGCCGCAGCCACCCATACCACATCCCAAGCTTCCTCTGTAATTATTAGGGTTATGTACGGAACATTACGGTGAATTACTGCCAGTAGGTTCTCATGTTTTCCTTTGTTACTAGCTCACAAATCACCCTATCCGTGAGCAGTTGACCCGCAGAGGATTCATGCGCGCGGCAGCTGTTTGGCTTAAACCGTGACTTGTCCTGTCCAACACGGCCACGAGTAGGCTGTGTAGAGTAGCTCTGAGGGTTCAAGACTGAAGAACTGCTCATAAGACCTGGAAACATCTGTGAACTGATGCTAAGGTATTGCGTTCAGGGTCAAAGTCGTCACATCTATGGGACATGATACTTCCCAGCAGTCCCCAATGGTTGCCTGACGAGTGTCCAAGGATAACCCCCGCGGTCCTAGCAAGTCTCGGAGCATGGCGTGCTTCTCCGGCCTCCTCTCTGAGGAGAATACAATGACGCGAATGCTCAAACACGGCAGAAATTCCAATCTCCCCGATTTAGTGCGCAAGAGATGACAAATCGAATGTGTTTGCGAACAACATCTAGCTGCATCTGGCTATCCACGTATGGCTCGCCCAACCATCCTGCCATGCGCCTTTCCAAAGCTGAGTCACGGTTCTTAATGCGTTGGTGTTTTGTGATGCCTGGCACTGAGGTAGATGTTACAGTACATGAATACAAGTTTGAAGCATGCGATATACAAGGCGGGCAGATAAAATAGATAGGTCCAGATGTTTGTGCCTATTGTCTCTACGAACTGTTCTGGCATCTGGTCGGCATCGGTTTCTTGGACTGATAGCTTGCTGGAGAAACATCACGTGCGACAGTGTTTGACGGCCTCGGCTGACTACCGGCTTCATTGAAAGAGCTGGCAAGAGGTACTGTAGAAGCCTAAATAATTACCTACATTATTTTTGGTGTTCCTTATTGCAATTAAGTATAAAGGGTCCCAAAACCCTATTCTAATTATTAAGGCCCCTACATTACAGCTTTTTTGTGCGGACGCTCTTGGAGCTGGGCAGCGGTTAGAAGTAATGTCTCGAGTCGCATGCTTCTTCGAGCTGCTTGTACCGATGTGCAGCCGGGGTCCAAGGCCACCCATGCGGAATGCTTTCTGATGTATAAAGACAAGGCTGAACGATGGGCAGTGAATCAGACTGATAGTTATGACTCGTGAAACCTCATAGTGCGGTGGAAGGATTACCTAGTTTGTTTTAGCATACGCTAGCTGTGCATTCTGTTTTCTTGCCTGCACTTTGTCTCTAGCAGTTGCCTTCCGCCCGCGCCGCGCCATGGATGCCTTGCTGGGGACAACACTGTTGGACGGAAGAGGGGAAGTCGCAACATCGTCTTTACAGGGAGGGGTCGTGGCCCTGTACTTTTCAGCTGGATGGTGCCCTTCGTGCGAGGGATTCACACCTCAATTCCGCAAAGTGTATGAACAAGCCACATCGAAGAACGGAGCTTTGGATGTCGTCTTTGTATCCAGCGACCGCGATGAGAGCTCTTTCCAAGAATGCTTCGCCAAGATGCCGTGGCATGCGCTGCCGTTTGCGGACCGCCAGCGTCAACAGCAGCTCTCTGCAAGCTTTGGAATCCGTGGAATTCCTTCTGTTGTCCTGCTCAACTCCTCTGGGCAGTTGCTGGATGACAGCGCACGAGGCAAGGTCATGGAGCCGGGTTTCCTCCTGTCCCTGCCACGCCGCATCGACTTGGTGTCGGCTGCGCTGCCGGAGCCGACGGGTTCCGTGCACTTGCGGCTGCGGTACAAAGGCCGCGAACATGACATGGAATGCGAGCCCAGAGACTCGGACTTACTTTAGACGTCGTCTCTTTCTAGAGTCTAGAGGTGTACATAAGCGTACGGCAAGGGTGTCGGCATGGACTTTCGAGCTGCCAGGTGAAGGCTGGGAAATGCTGCGCAAGCAGATCTCCTCCATGATTGACGTGCCACCTGAGCAGTTGAAGCTGTTTGGACTGGGTCTTGACAAAGGCTGGCATGGCACGCACAGATTCCCTGCTTGCAACAACCCTATAACGAAGTTTAGAAGCTTGTGTCTGGAGTGCGGTTGGAAATGCCCTTGGAGCACCCAAGTAAAGGTGAGGGCCTGTATTTCAGATTTGGGCAAGTGCAAATCAGGGTCCTATGGCTTTCAGTTCGACACGGTTTCACGGTCTCAACTTCAGGATTGGGTTTGGACTGACTCGAGGGCCTGTGACAAGTTTGAAGTTGCTCGGACAGTCACTCACGACCTCCGCTGTCACTGAGACGGGTGTTCTGAATTGCCGGATTTTCCGGCTTGGAGCTCCGGGTTTGGATTGTCGTCTGTTGTTTAGGGCCCGCCTGCTCGCCGTGGACACGATAGATACCCATGGCCTCTGATGACCCTGCAGGCCAAGTGGATGAATCCATCTCTCTAACGCGGGCCTTGGCGAGGAGCATTGCGACCCAGAAAAATTCAGGTCTCCGAGTGGCCAAGGTGGGACACAAGCTGGGGCTTTTAAGGCTTGCAGTTGGGTTGTTGGACCGTTGGGCATCACGGCCACTCGCTTGACTCGACCTTGCAAACATAGCTTTACCTCCGCCTTGGCAGTTTTCTGGAGGTGCCGTTGGAAGCAAGACGGGCATCCTCGAGCCACGAAGACGACAAGCCTGGGCAAAGGCATCACACTGGATGCTTGGATAGAGAGTGTGCTGACCCTGGACTCCCCCGTTTGGTGCGCCAGGCGCGGAGACTGCAGTCCATGGTACCAGCTCGACTTGGGGGAGGTCGAACACGTCGCTGGAGTGCTCGTGGCTGCACGCCGCCCCGGCCTCGGTCTTCTGCTATCTCGGCGCGAGAGCGTCGATGTTTCGAAGAACACTAGTCTGCGGCCCTTCCGAGCTGAAAGCCAAAACTTTTCCTGCGTTGGGCCAGCTTCGCTCGCTTTGGCTCTGATCTCGGAGCTTCCTGTTACTCAGGCGTGGAGTGTGGCCAATGGGCCACAAGGCTGGCAAGTGCCGTCAACTGCGACCTGAGGACCTCGTGTGTCGTTTCGGGCGATGCTGCAGGTTCCGGGTTGAGCTGGCTGGATCTGAGGACCCACAGGTTGAAAGACTTAGGACACTAATGGGACAATGCTCAGTTTGCAGGACGGGCCCTGGACTTCCGCCGACAATGGCAGGGAGTTTGCTGGGCCGAGAACTCGTTGGACTACCCGGATGTAAGTAAGCCAAAAAAGTAAGTGCCAAAAAGTTAGCTGAAACGAGCATATGCACGCGCACTCACTCACTCTGTCTGCTTGTCTGTTCCGAGGCCGAGCTATGCAGACCCTGTGCGCGCAGTTTTCCAAAACGGCACGCGACCAAGCAGTGAAACCTCCACCACCTCGTATGTGATCGACTATTCTCGTGCATGAAAGGTCTTGGCAACAGCATGCTGCACCTGTCACGTGTGTGGTAGCTGCTCCATCCAGACTGAGGCTCGCAGCTGGCTCGATCCTGCCGGTGAGTTGCCGTCTCAGGCTTCGCTGCCCTCTAGGTGTGTAGAGGTACACAGCCTTGGTCCTAGAAGCAGGGCAGACGCTCTGCGCACCGAGGTCACCGGAACCATGGCTCTCTCCGCGCAGACGTGCTGCTGGAGCGGGGAGGGGCTCACAGGGCTGAGTGCTGTTTGGCCCGATGCAGCTCGCAGCAGCGCGCAGGCTACCGGAGAACCGGACAAGCCGCCGGTAATTGCTTCTCGGTTTCCTTCAGACCCGTGCGATGCGGAGGGCTCTCGCTTCCAACGTGGCCATTGTCCCTGTGCGAGGTCGCTCTGGGAAACTTCAGTGCAGGAGACCCCTTCGAATCTGCCACACCCGAGGCCAGGCCGCATGTTCCATCGTGTTCCCGTGTTCTCACCGCGGACCTCGCCCGCTCCCCTCAAATCAGGGGAGAGCCCAGCCTGAGTGCCGGAGGTGCCGGTGGATGAGCAGGACTTGACGGTCTCGGGCGCCGAGGAGGAAGGGATCCACTGAGTTCTTTCGTAGGTCGGGCGCATCACGGGATACCCTATACCTTAACACACCGACCAAGAAAGCCCGGAAGGAATCCTTAACGAACGGTTTTTTCGGAGTTTGTGTGAGAGAATGCACCCCTGGCCCATCTGCCGATATCCCCGGATTGTCTTTAAGAATGCTCACAGACTGCTCACTGAAGTTTCGAATTGGGGCCTTTGACAAACTTTGGGCCATGGCTCTGTTTGTGTCTGTCTTCGAGAGGGCTTCGATACTGTTGCATGCGCAGCTGTTTGCAGTTGTTTGCGAGACTTCTGGCTTCCGCGAGTGTTCGCATGCGGCCCCTGACAGAGTTGTGCACACGGTTGCATCGACCGGTGCGGTCCGCAGCGCCTGATGAGCTATAGCCTAAACTCCGTTATTGTTTTTATCGGGATTATACAGGGGACTACAATAGGGGATACTAAGAGGGAGAATAGGAGTTTAGACTATACCTTAACCTACCAAAACCTTTGGTGGCTTAAGGTAGCTCTGGTGGCTCTGCAGTTAGACTAAGCTCACATCAGCCTAAACCCTACTGTAAACCTCAACCCCTGATACCTAAACTCTAAACCCTAATCCTTAAAACCTGAATCCCTAAACCCCTAAAACTCTAAAACCCCAAACCCTAAACCCTAACCCCTAAACTCTAAACCCTAAACCCCAAACCCTAAACCCTATAGCTCCCTTTAAAGGAGAGACTTCCTGGCTCCAGGCACGGGCCCCGGCGCCGGCGCCGTCTGCCCAAGCCCGGGAAGGCAAGGGCTGCAGCTCTGAGACAGTGTAATGTAGGGGCCTATTGAGGCTTTGGGGTTTTAGGCTTTAGGGTTTGGTGCTATTCGATATTATTCGCAATAATTACCTATAGTATTGTGGGGGTTCCCTGATAAGTGTAGTCAGTGTAATGTAGGGGCCTCAATAATAAGAATTAGGGTTCCCTTTAAAGGGGTCCTTAAAAGGGATACTATAAAGGGTTCTATAAGGGGTATAATGTAGGGGCCTTAATAATTAGAATAGGGTTTTGGGGCCCTTTATAGTATAATTATAATAAGGAACCCCAACTCTAATATTGTTAACTATGCCGGCTTCTATAGCAGTCCAAGCAGACGGGGAGTGCCTGGACCCCAAAAGCATGTAGAATAATCGCCCTTTATAGGTTTTGGGCCATTATTTTACCTACCTTTGGGGGTTTAGGTGAGGGGGAGCCAGGTCATCAGCTTGCAACATGTCGGCGCCAGCGATGCGAAACGGTGCGGGTGGTGCTCATCTCATGCTCTCACCACGCCCCGCGGCGCTGCCGTGCCCACCGCTGTCACCCCACAAACTTGTCCTGCAGCTGTGGGCGGTGAATGCTTATACTTTAGGGATTTAGGGGCCTTTGAATTAGAATTTTGGAGTCTTGATCCTGCGATTGAGGCGGCCGAGCGGTGGGGCGCCGCATCGGTGCTGACCCAAGCGTGCCACATGCTTGGGCCTAGTTTTACTGTTCTTATCAGTCTTTATTTCACTCCTGTAGTATTATTTTCAGAGCCAGGCAGTACCATACTGCATCATTGTTATTACGTATCATTACTGCAATGATGATTATTGTTGCTACTATTATTGCATTGTTGCATTCTTTTTCATATTATTATTGTCTAGGCTCAGGGCTCAGGGTCTTCGGCTTTGCGGTTTCCGTCTGTGGCGCGTGTAGACATATGTGCATACAGTAGATACATACATATGAGCTATAGTCTAAACTCCGTCATGGGGGGGGGGTATAATAGGGATTTTATCGGGAACTTCTATAGCGGATATTAAGAGGGATAATCGGAGTTGAGACTATAGCTCATATACACATGTACATGCATTTGAACCGAAGGCCAAGCGGCTCCCTGCAGAAAAGCATCTTGAGCCAACTTTGTTGTTTTTCACCCCCTCTCCACACCTCTCGCACAGACACACACACACACACACACACACACACACACACACACACACACACACACGACAGAAAAGCAAAACCTCGCTCCCTAACGAAGAACACCTCATTTGCTACGAACGTGACGCGGCTGGAGCCCTATACACCCAAACTTGCCACTGAGGCCGCTGCATGTGGAATTCATGCATCGCTTGGGCTTCCCAGTACAACTACTAGTTCTCCTGATTCAGAAAACCTAGGGTTCTGGATCGAAGGACGGTTAACCCTAAACCCTCGACCCTAGACCGCAAACCCTAAACCCTAAGCCGCGGTCTAGGGATGGCATGCTCACTGGAGAACAGGGCCAGGGCCTGCTGTGTCAGGTTTGCCCTGAGTGCCCAAGCTACGTCAATTTACCAAAACCGCTCTTGCTATATACATTCTAACATGGAATTTTTGGGGGCCCGACACAAAAGCAGGCTCTGGCAGGTTAAGCTAGGGAGCCTACTGCGGCCAACGTTAGGCTGTAAAGAAGACGGACTGCACGCGTGGATTCCAAAATAATTCCTTTGCTCTCGAGCCCCACCCAAACTCCGGTGACCCGATGCACGTGAAGGTTTTGAGGCACCCGGTAATTAATCCTCATAGCCACCCTCATGGGGGCGCCAGCCCTTTTCAAAGACAAGAGCATGCATGGGATCTAGCGAATGTCTCGGAGTTAGATCGGCTTGGGATTTTCATGTGGGGTCGGGGTATGACGACTCTGAGCCCTGCAGCCCGTCGATATAAGAAGCCATCCTCCCTCCACGTCTTCTCTCTGAACGCATCCCTACAACTCCAAATTGAATCCTAGGCTTCCGGGCCTCTATTCTCCGTGCCGTCCGACTCCAGGCCCTCTAAAGCCTAAACCGAGCCTTACAAGGCACGCCCGCTGCGGCCATCTCAGCTCAATTCGATCACGGCAAGTGTGAAGGCAGATAAAGGCAGTGTGAAGGTATAAAGTAAGCTCTTCTGCAACGGCGCTTGTCGCCCTGTCGCTGGTGAATGCCGCGTACTGGGGACTGGGCTGCCTGGAGGGGCTGCCACTGAGCTGCACGTAGCGTTCCACGCCCATGGTTTAATTTGGGCGTAAGGGTTCGATGCAAGGTCGAACATCCTCGAACAGTCGCTTGAGCATGGCTTGTGCGAATCACCTTTTCCAAGGTGGGAAGAGTTGGCGGCGCGGTTTCTCGGCTGGGGATGTAGAAGGGCCATTTCCGGCTTCTTGCACTGCGGTGCTTCCTTATGGCTCATATGACGGTTTTTGCTTGGACGCGAAAGTTGAGGGGATGCAGCATTGCCGTGGTGGGCAGCGGTTCACTATATATATAGATGTTGTCTGGATGAGCAGGTGGACGTTTAGACTCCAGCGCCAATGCGCTGCAGTGTAGCGAGAGCAAACCTCGTGACCGCCAGCGCACGAAGCCCGCAAAAAAAGCTTGAGTTTAGCCCCTACTGCAACCTCAGACATGCTCAGTTGTTGGACCGAGAAGTTGCGATCATATCAGGCGCCTTAATCCATGCCCGGTCCGGGGATGGGTTTCGGCAAACTGTAGACTGTAGACGTGAGTCGCGTTCTCCAACTGCTACTGTCTGCGTGTGCCTCTGTCTCTGCCTCTGTCTCTGTCTGTGTCTCTGTCTGTGTCTCTGTCTCTGTCTCTCTCTCTCTCTCTCTGTCTCGCTCTCTCTCTGGGTTAAGGTACCTCTAGTCTGACTTTGAAAGTTGCCTGCCTCTCCCAGTATAGGCACTCTTGCCACGATGTGTCCAACGAGACCGTGGCCATCAAGAAGGTCTGCATCTTGTTTTCCAGGTGTACCGTTTTTGTTTGCATGTGAGAGTGTGCATGCACGCAAACATGCGTGCGTGGGAGCACGGAAGTTGTGAGTTTCGGGGTGTTCGGGGTCAGTTTCGGTGTTCAGTTTCGCGGGCGAGTTTCGGCTCCGGCACGGGTGGGTCGGTTTCGGATCGGGGCGGGTCAGTTTCAGCACGGGCCTGGGTCAGTTTCGGATCGGGCGTGGGTCAGTTTCAGGTCTAGGGCAGTAGTAGTAATAGTCGTCGTAGTAAGTAGTAGTACTAGTACTAGTTCAGGCGACCTGAAGTGGAGGCAGCTCAGGGTTCAGGGTTTCGAACTTGGGTTTGGGATTCGGTTTTGAGTTTGGGGTTTCGGGTTTGGTACTGTGGGGTTGGGGATTGGGGTTGAGGGATGTTGAGGGTGTAAAAGCGCCATTCATTCTGCTACGTGCGACTCGCACGCGCGGTGCCGAGAGCTGACCAGAGAGTGCAGGACGTTCCCACAGCTTGGAGTTGCTGGTTTTCTGCGCTTAGTAAAGCTTAGTGTTTAGGGTTTAGGGTGCGCGGGCATCCGAGCATTGACACAGGATCGGAAATCGTCTTCTGGACGGCCAGATTAATTTAAAAGCTTGAACTGCCGGGAGCATTTGTGTCTGTGCTGCGGAAGCCTGGTAGCCATGCTTAGCCATGCTGGACGACTCTCGCCAGTACTTGCAGGTTGGCCGAGGAGAGGTTTTCGGCCCCACTGCCATCGCCCAAATGGTACTAGTCGAGTACTTGGACCCTCCGGGGATGTCATCAGGAACCTTTGCAGAACCCGACTGTTTGAATATCTGCTTTTCGCTCTATTTGGTTCTGTACATGCTTCTATTTGTAGCTAAGACATCTATATGATATGTGCTATTAGTTTTTGACGTTTACACTGACGTGAGCATCCTCGAACGTCCCATCTAGGAGAGCCAATATTGTAAATAGTGCTGTTCGCTCAAGCCGTGAAACTGCTTAAGCAACAAACCATGTCCTGTGTGGTTTTGGCACTTATTGCCGGGCCCACTAGCTTGCGTTTTTGTTGTTTTGGGGTTCGGAGTCTAGGGCTGCATAGCGATAGGGTCTACACAGGCTTACGGTTGTTACACTTTTGGTGGTGGGGGTGGCAAAGTTTACCGGAAGGTGGTGAGGGTGGCAGAATTCACCGTAAAGAAGCGTGAGAGGTAGTAGTCGGCGTCGTGGTGGTGACTGTGGTGATTGCAGGTTTGCGAGAGATCAGGGAAGGAAGGATGCTGATTGCAGGTAGGTTGTAATCGCATGTGACGTACGTGCCGCACAAAGTTAGCACAGTATGCTTTCAAAAACGTGAAGCCAAAAGTCACGTTGCACATCCTGGTGCCTACCACCTTGCGACAGGCAGTGAGCCGTCTGCGGGAGGAGCATGCCGGCGGGCTGGCGCAGCAGCACCAGCAGGAGCTGGAGGCCATCAACAATGAGATGGCCAGGAGGACGGATGAGCTTCGAACGGAGCAGCAAGAGAAGCTGCGTGAGAGAGAGGGCAAGCTGTGGCAGCAGCAGAAGGATCTGTCCGCGAAGTACGCCCAGCTGCAGGCAGAGTACGAGCAAGCGCAGCAGGAGGCCAGTAGCAGTCTCCAGGCTCGGGATGCTTTGGAGAGAGCCGTCCAGACAGCATGGGATCAACAAGTGGAGCTTGAGCGGAAGCTGGAGGGCAGTCGCGCAGACTGCGAGGCCCGCGAGGTGCAGCTGATGAAGCTTCAGCAAGAGCACGGCAGCTTGCAGCAGCAGCATACGGAGCTGCAACAGGCCCACAAGTCCCTGCAAAGGGAGCATAAGCGATTGCAGACCGAGCACGCAGGTGCAGTCCAGGCACGGGAGCAGTTGACCAGCGACTTCGAGCGGGAACGACAAAGCCTGCAAGCCGACATCTCGGATGCAAAGGCGAGGAGAACATGCCACAATTTGGACACAAGCTTAGAATTTGTGAAAGGTTCAAACGACTTTCCAGAGTGGCGCTATATGGATAAAACACGGTAATCGTGTAGTTACTCTAAACGCTAAACATCTGAATTTGCATTCCTTTGCTCTAAGCATTCCTTTGCTCTAAACATATTGGGACAATAACTTGTTCGCAATACGTTTAGGGGAGATTTTGTCCCAATATGTGTAGTAGTTAGCACTCTAAACATTGTGCTTGCGCGCCTTTGCGGGTGTTTACAGGCAGCCGCATTCGACACAATCATGCAGATGCGAGCTTCGAGGCTCGTCAACACGGATTCAACTGGAATGTGGCTTGACAGCTGGAGGCAAATTGAACTGTTTGTCTTTGTTCCCTATTGCTGGTATAGCTGGCACATGTGACATTTCTTGACTTCAGCGGTTACAAGCCCGAATGGTTGGGCAGGTGAGGTGTTGAAGACGCCCGAATGAACTCATGTCCTTCGTTGAGGACCTCGCCTGCCGCGATCCGACGAGACGACGAAGAGACGTGGCAGCCCCGGCGATTAAACACCCAAATGCAGTCTCCGGGCCCTCGGGTGCTGGGAACTGCTGCAGACCTTCTGCCTGGCACAGGATTCACCAGTCCGACTTTGACTTCGGGTCGCTTCATCAGGCCTGTGCGCGTGTCTTAGAGGGGCCAGCATTGGTCGGAGGCCCCAACATATCCTGAACTGCGCGAATTTTCGCGGCTTCAAGGCTGCGGCTCAGCTCTTCGAGCAGCCCAAGCCAGTTCCTGAAAGCGTCCAGCACAAGGCCTGTCCAAAGCACTCGGAAAACAGTGCCACCATGGGACTGCGATGCCTAAGGTCATCGAGGTCTTCCGGCGGTCTGGCAGCCGGGAGATGGATGCAAAGACTTTTCGGGACCTTTGGAACCGCGCCTTCCCGCACGAGAAGCTGGAGTTCAAGGACTCCGCATGCGGGCTCTCAAGAGCCGGGCGAGGGACGAGACAGAGGGAGAGAGAAGAAATCCCCGAGTATTTGCACTGAGGATTACGGCGATGTCAAAGGCTTGCTGGGCAACATCCCTATTGTCGAGAAGGCCAGGATGTGCGGTTAAGTTGGGGAGTATTCGCTCAGATTCGTGGTCGTCGGTCTCCGGGAGTCTTCAGAGTACTCGGAGGTTTTTGTCGCTGTCAGGTGACAACGTACATGCTGAAGAGCGAGGTCGATTTCGTGCCGAACGACGAGGTGCACCGAAGCCTGCCTTTCGGAAAGTCGTTTGCTCGGAAGATTGCTGAGAGTCTGAGATTTTTGGGCCTTACCGTCAAGTCTTTACATCCCTGACTCCAAGCTCGCAAAGCCACGTCGCGACAACCGTCTTTGCGAGACGTTCGGTCCTTGGTGGCTTTCCGCGCTCAGACTCCTCACAGGCCACAAGCTCTGACGCGGATGCAAGGCCTGTTCAGGGTTGAGGCTGCCCTTGCGATCCTTTGATTGTTTTCCGCAGTCTGCTTGGCGTGTTGGGTATACTGATCCTCATGATGATGATAATGATGATGGTGGCGATGATCATCAGCACTATCATTATCACAGTCGTATCAGTGTTTCTTTGGTTGGTCGCCGGGTGTCTTCTGCCCAGTGAGACCAGGCAGCAGCACAGCAGCGGCTCGCCACGATCCTCGGACTCTGGCTTTGTGGCGGCCCAGGCCGAGAGATGCCGGAGAGCGCGACCTGAATCGAACACCCCGCCCCTGGTTGCGAGGAGATCATCCGACTCCAGCAGGAGGCGGCCTTCTTTCCTTCGACCTAGACGCACCGAAGTTAAGAAATGTATAGACGATTAAGTTAAAATAAAGCAAATAGATCATCAGAGTTGTCAGACAGCAATCTCATTGAATGCCACAACCAGTAGCTGCAAATCAGAATATGCGAAGTCGATCGACGGCATGCGACGCATGCAGGGTGCATGCCAGCAGGTCAGCCGTTTGCGTTTCCTGCTCCACAAGGCCCTGGCCTCAGCGATGTTGGATCTGTGTTGGACTCCTCTCCAGACGGAGAAGAGGAGTCATGGTCGTCGTCATCGTCGCAGTCGCAGTCGTCGTTGTCGTCGCTGCTAGTAGTAGTCTAGTAGTAGTAGTAGTAGTAGTAGTAGTAGTAGTAGTAGTAGTAGTAGTAGTAGTAGTAGTAGTAGTAGTAGTAGTAGTAGTAGTAGTAGTAATGGTGGTAAGTGGTGGTGGTGATGGCAGTACAAGTATTACTGGTTCTAGCATTCACCCCGGGCTTGTCTTTGTAGTAAAGCCCAAAAAAGCGTGAGATGGAAAGTTCGACCCTGGCCGAAGTGGGTGTCTCACAGCTTCCCTCCTGACCCTATACCCGAAACCCTTCATCGTAGATGTCAGGGTTTCTGTGTGCTTCTCGAAGGTCATTCTCAGCTTCACATACTTCGGTTCCGTCCTACGCATGCACCATACCCAAATTTGAAAACATTTCAGGAACGGCATCGCTGCATTCACAGCTGCCGAGTTCAGGCTTTGGGGCATGCCAGGTGCATGCAAGAATCCTCGAGGTGAACTCCTAGCACTGTGTCAAATTTGAGGGTTTCAGGTTAAGGCTTTCTGGGATTAAGGCTGCCGGGCCCCAAGACAGGTTTAAGGAGGGAGCGATTTCAAGGGACCTTGTCGGGCAGCCTGCGAGTTTGGACAAGTGCCCTGCGACTTTGTCGGATTACAGGGAAGCTTTTGCCCAAGAAGGTGACGTCTCGCGGTGGAGGTTTCAAGCCCTCGACCCCAAACCCAGCACCCAAAAGCTGGAACCATAAACTATCTTAAACTCGATGGCCAAGGAGTCCAAGGCAGAGGATGCTGCTCCCGTTGCTTCGGTGGCACGTTCGGGTGGCGAGTTGACATCGTATTAGCCGTTTTGGATTGAAGACGGTAACAACTATTGCTTCTTAAGAAGAAAGTAGCTGCATCGTACTTCTAGGAGTAGCAGCAGTAGTACTAGTCGAAGCCGCAGCAGCAGCAGCAACAGTCGCAGTTAGTAGGCGCAGTCGTAGTAGCAGTCGAAGTAGTTGGACGAGTAGGAGGAGGAGAGTAGTGGTAGTGGTAGCCGTAGCCGTAGCCGTAGTCGTAGTCGTAGTAGCAGTAGTAGTACTTATTTTCGTAGTAGTAGTAGTAGTAGTAGTAGTAGTAGTAGTAGTAGTAGTAGTAGTGGTGGTAGTAGTAGTAGTGGTAGTGGTAGTGGTAGTGGTAGTGGTAGTGGTAGTGGTAGTAGTGGTGCTAGTGGTAGCGGTAGCGGTAGTGGTAGCGGTCACGATAGCGGTAGCGATAGTGGTAGTGGTAGTGGTAGTGGTCGCGGTGGTGGTAGTAGTAGTAGTGGCAGGAGTAGTAGTAGTAGTAGTAGTAGTAGTAGTAGTAGTAGTAGTAGTAGTAGTAGTAGAAGTAGTATTAGTACTAGTACTAGTACTAGTACTAGTACTAATACTAGTACTAGTAGCAGTAGTAGTAGTAGTAGTAGTAGTAGTAGTAGTACTACTACTACTACTACTACTACTAGTACTACTACTACTAGTACTAGTACTAGTACTAGTAGTAGCGGCAGCAGCAGTAGCAGCAGTAGCAGTCGTAGTAGCAGTAGAAGCAGGAGTAGTAGTAGAAGTGGTGGTGGTGGTGGTGGTAGTAGTAGTAGTAGTAACCCCTTCCCTCTACTATTAAACGCCACCGCCCCCCTTCAACAAAAGCTAGGAAAGTATGTTTTAATATGAGGGGCGAGTTTGATCTCTGCTGTCACTTTCGAGGAATCTTGCCCTTGCTCCTGCTCTGGGTCTTGCGCCCGCGTTTGCTCTTGCTTCTGCTGTTGCTATTACTCCTGCATTTGCTGTTGCTCCTGCTCTTGCTCTTACTCCTGATCTTGCTTTTCCTCTTGCTCTTACTCCTGCTCTGCTCTTTCTCTTACTCCTGCTCTTGCTGTTGCTCCTGCTCTCGCTTTGGCTCTTGCTATTTCTCCTCCCCACAACTCAGAATTGGTTTTAAAGGGCCGGTGTGATTTCGGGAGGATGGGGCCGAATGTGTCTTTTTTAAGGGTGGTTTCCAGTAGTAGTAGTAGTAGTAGTAGTAGTAGTAGTAGTAGTAGTAGTAGTAGTAGTAGTAGTAGTAGTAGTAGTAGTAGTCGTCGTAGTCGTAGTAGCAGTAGTAGTAGTAGTAGTAGTAGTAGTAGTAGTAGTAGTAGTAGTAGTGCTAGTAGTAGCAGTAGTAGTAGTAGTAGTAGGAATAGTAGTCGTAGTAGTAGCAGTAGCAGTAGCAGTGGCAGTGGCAGTGGCAGTAGCAGTAGGAGTAGGAGTAGGAGTAGGAGTAGCAGTAGGAGTAGGAGTCGGAGTAGTAGTAGTAGTAGTAGTAGTAGTAGTAGTAGTAGTAGTAGTAGTAGTGGTAGTAGCAGTAGCAGTACTAGTAGTGGCAGTGGCAGTCGCAATCGCAGCCGCAGTCGCAGTAGCAGTAGCGGTAGCAGTAGCAGGAGTAGTTAGTATTAGTATTAGCATTAGTATTGGTAGAATTAGTAGTATTGGTAGTACTAGTAGTACTAGTAGTACTAATAATACTAGTAGTACTAGTAGTACTAGTAGTACTAGTAGTACTAGTAGTACTAGTAGTAGTAGTAGTAGTAGTAGTAGTAGTAGTAGTAGTAGTAGTAGTAGTAGTAGTAGTAGTAGTAGTAGAAGCAGCAGCAGCAGTTGCGGTAGTAGTTGCAGTAGTAGCAGTCGTAGTAGTCGTCGTCATCGCAGTAGCCGTTGCAGCAGTAGCAGTAGCAGTACTAGTAGGTGTAGTCGTCATCGTCGTGGTGGTGGTGGTGGTGGTAAGCAGGAGTCGGCGTGGTGGTGGTGGCGGTGGGGGTGCTGCTGGTCGTAGTGGTAGTGCTAGTCGTCGTCGTCGTAGTTATCCGTCGAACAGTCGTAGCCGTGGTCATGGTCGTAGTCGTAGTCGTGGTGGTGGTGGTGCTGGTGGTGGTGGCAATTGTAGTGGTAGTGGTAGTGGTAGGTGTCGTGGTAGTGGCAGTGGCCGTGGTATTGCTGTAGAAGTCCTCGTCGTGGTCTCCGTGGGTGTGTAAGATTCAAGAATGCTGGGCGGTGAAGAAACGCCAGGCTCTTCTCGACAGATCTTGTCAAATCCTGCAGATTGCAAGAACTAGACGCCGCCTAGACGGCATGTATGCAAAGCAACCTTCTTGCAGCATGCATCCCGCAAATAGCTGCTCTTGCACTCATGTTCTCTTCTTAAGTGTGCCCCACGGAATTCCTCTCGGACTCTCAGGTGCTCGAGGAAAAGCAATGGCGGGTTCCGCCACGCTTCGGCGGCATGGTTTGGAGTGGTGGCGCAGTCCCGTTCAGCCTTGAACAGTGATTTGTAGGCCGGCCATAGGTCATGGGGGCTGTGTGTGCAGGACTTGTATGTCGGAGTGTCCGAGATAGGGCACTTGGAAGACGTAGAACCCTACTAAGACCAACTTCCTGCTGTCACTTCGTTTGTTGTTTTTTGTGGACTGCCTGCAAAGTAAGCAGTTCAACAAGTTACCTGCCTGCAGTGTCCGACAATTTTCCAGACCACAGAAGCAGCAGCAGAAAACATGTGCAAGATTCAGGTGCTGGCTTAATTCCTCTCCAACCCGAAGCAAACTAGTTTGTTTCATTCCCTGTCCTTAGCCATGTTACACCTGACCTGGTCGTGCTCGCCATCTCGTTTCGTTGGACCTGCGCATCTGCCGAGCGGTTGCACTCGAAAAATCAGCCTTCCGCCTTCGGAGTTGATTGAGGCTCTGGGCGTAGGAAAGTGCCAGCCGTGGCGGCCTCGTCGGTTATGGAAGCCAGCAATTGGCCAAAAGCATCCACAAGCAGCACGCCTGAGGAGAGGGCAAGCGAATGCATGCATGGCCATGGTCATGTTATGACTCGCGACGGTCATTCACGCCTGCACGGTGCCTCGCAACCCTCAAACGATGAAGCAGTTCACCCGAAGACGTCATCCGAAGACTTTTCGTTAAAACCGGAGCTCCGGACATCGGGCCATGGCCGATCAAGGGGAGCCGCTCCGGCACGAGGCGGCACATGGCTGTAAGATTGTTCCATGC